ATATTTCCAAGACTGGCCCAGATATTTGCAGAAAACGGTAACGTATTAAATGGTAAAAAGGTATACCGGAATCATAACGTTTTAAACGAAGAAAATATAGCAAACATATAGGCATTTTATGAAGCGCATCCATTTTCCTCTATTACTAGAGATATGAGACAGGTATTTCTCGAGGATCAATCCACTCAGTTTTCAAAGAATATAAATATAATGCATTAAAATTTCGTAAAACTCAAAAACTAAGTGTAGAACAATGTCAAAGAAGGACGCAGTTTTGTTTGAATTTTTTAAATAGACAGTGAGAATAACAATTTTTTGAAAAACATTTTATGGACTGATGAAAGTTCGTTCACTACAAGAAAGCGTTGTAATAAATAAAATACGCGATGTTGGTCTTTAAATAATCCTAAACAAATACACAAAATAAAAATCCAGGGGTACCAATCAATTAATGTATGGTGTGGTGTCATAGATGGGCATATTTTGGGTCTGATATTTATAGATCAACAGTTAACTAGAGATCATTATTTGCAATCCTTAGACCACCAAATAGAACAATATATAGAAGATTTACCTCTAAATATATAGTACTGATTATATGGCAGCAAGACGGTGCCCCTCCTCACAATGTTGTGCAAGTTAAAAATTTTCTTAGTATGGAATATCCCAGGGATTGGATAGTGAATGGCGAAACTATGGATTAGCCAGCCGACAGCCCCGGCTTTCTTTTGGAGACACATACAAAATCACATGCATAGAACTCCTTGAAATAATGTGGTGGAACTTCGGCAAACGATTTCGGAGGCGATCAATCAGTTAAGAGACAATCCGGAAACGTTACTAAATGCAAGACATCATACAGTTACAGTGCATGAGAACTGTGTTCAGGAAAATGGTGGTCACATACAGCAATTTATTTTAATTACAATAGTTATTTACAATAGTTAAATAATTTTTTACTTTAGTATATCGTGTCATTTTTAGTGGTTTTGTTTTTTGTTAATAATTATTGTTGTTGTAGTCAGTCAGCAATTATATAAAAATTTCCTATTTTTGCCGATTTGTCAAAAACGAATGGACTAAACTATAAAGTGTAATTGTAATCGGAATAAGATATTCTACTAAACACATATATAATTTATATGTCAGAAAATTGATAGTATTTTGTTTTATACGTCACTTGGAAAAAAACTTGGCTATTTACCCAACATTTTGTTTTCTGGTTCATCTTGATAACGCTAAAAACAAAAAAGTTACAGGCAATTAAAATGTTATCAAGATAAATTGAACGCACGGTACAAAGAATTCGAGACCACTAAAACAGGTGAATCCCATCGGAGAGGAAAAAACGATGACGACCAAGAATCAGTTACAAATGTTAATTAATTATAAGCAAGATTATTTACGACCTCAACTCTCAAGATTCAACGTGATGATAGGGCACTGTAATATTTTTTGAACTTAAGTTTAAGTCATTTTAAAAATATTAAATATATAGCAAACTATAGACATGTTATCTGTGTATGAGTTTAAAGCAAGCATTATTATTAATTACTAATGGGATGATCTAGGATTTTTAATAAATAAAAATAAAAATAAAACATTCAGGTGTATATTAGATTGGATTTGCTATTGTCGGTGTTTGTAAGCACTGATTAGGAATAAGAAAAAGAGACAAGCTGTTCGCCTCGAATCTAAATTTGAGGGCATCAAACGGTTTTAATTCTGTTTTGAGTTTTTTTTAGCCGACGGTAACTGGAAGCGCGTTAATACAATATAACCTGCCGGGAGTTCCATTTTGTGTCGCTCATTAATCTGGGAAAATAAATTAAAAACAGCCCGGTTTCAGGATTCCGATTTTGCTACGATTAAATTTAGATCAAAAGGTTGTGACGTAATCCGTACACGTTGATATCGTTACTGGACGAAATGAACTTTGCAATGGTGAAGTTCAAACGGTGGTGACCACGAAGCGTGCAAAGAGCTTTAGAAACCGTGAAAGTAGAAAAAAAAACGTCGCAACGACTTGTGGTTTATGGGCGGTGACGTCGCAGAAAACGATGGAGCACAAAAAATCGGAGGTCATACACAACTTTCTGGCCACTTTTTTCATAGAAATGTATGAGAAAATTTTATTTTTTTTAATAGTTGCGTAATGGCCCGCAGTTATCAAAATTAAATTATCAAAGGTGGACCGAGCAACTTTTCGGGAAACCCGAATTCTTCGATTGTAGTGTTCATTAGTTAATTTATCCTCAACTTTACAAAAAAAAAACTAATGGCAAAAGTTGTAGAGTTCAAAATAAGTCTCTGTAGATTTGACTTAGTTTGCCTATAGAGTACCCCCTGTATTTATGCGTATTTTTAGATTATTTATAAAGTAAACCAAATTTATCATTTACATTTCATATCTGTTCTTACTCGTTTTTGAAAGAAAAAATATAAGTTTTATTTTTAAATTACCCGGAAATTTATAAACATATTTTCAAATAAATCTAAAATAAATTATATTTTGTTCGTATTTCTCCTCGATTCTTACAAATTCACCAAAAATTTAGAGCCTTGGTTTGTACGGCAAAATTTGGTATGAAAATCCTTTTTTATTCTCAGAGAATTCTGTATTACATAATTTTGGTACCATATATTTCCATATATTTCGTCGCACTTTCTTCATATTTCAGCATAAAAAGGGAAGTACTTGCTAGGTGATTTCTCCATCGATTCTTACCAATTTACCAAACATTTATTGAAATAGTTGCCTATAGCATCGTATAGTATCCCTTCGGTTTGTATAGTAAAATTTCGGTATAAAAATCTAATATTATTTTCATGTGACTATAAAGTTTCCAGAATTTGCCAATATTTTATCGAATTTGCTCATATTTCCTCTTATTTTTACACATTTCCTCCGGATTTCCCCATACTCCTACGGTAGAAAAAAGAAGAACCATTTCGCAAAATTTGGTATGAAAATTTAATCTTATTGTCAGAGATTTCCTTATCTTCTATATGTAAAGTTAACAAAATTTCCCAACATTTTATAGAATTTGACCATATTTTCTATTATTTCCACACATTTCCTCTGTATTTCGCATTTTTGTTTTATTTGGCCATATTTCCCATACCCCTACGGTAGAAAAAGGAATAACCATTTCGCAAAATTTTGGATATTCTTCTCAGAGATTTCCGCTTTATGTTCTTTATAATACCAGAAATTTCCCAATATTTCCTCGTATTTCCCCATATTTATTTCATATTTCAGAATAATAAACAAAGTATGTTCTAGGTGATTTCTCCCTCGATACTTACAAATTTACGGAAAATTTATTGAAATAGTTGCCTATACTCCTATATAATAAAAAAGTATAACCACTTCGCTTTGGTTTGTACAGCAAAATTTGGTAAGAATATCCGATATTATTCTCAGAAATTTCCTATACGTAAATATTGGGTTGTTCGGAAAGTCATTTCGTTTTTTTTTGGGAACATGAAAGACAGTTTTCGTATAATGAATAAATATTTTATTAAATTATATATTGGCTATTCTGGTCCAACACCTTTTGCCATCTTTCTGGCAGTAACATAATTCCCCTCTCATAAAAGTTTTGGTCCTTGCTGGCAAAAAACTGGTTCAGGTGGTTGTTGACATCTTCATTTGAGGTAAAAGTTTTGCCATCCAAAAAATTTTGCAGGGACCGGAACAAATAGTAGTCGGAAGGCGCCAGATCTGGAGAATATGGTGGATGTTGCAGTACGTCCCATTCAAGCTGTAAAAGTTTTTGGCGAGTGACCAAACTTGTGTGAGGTCTCGCATTATCCTGGTGGAACACTACACCCTTCCTGTTGATTAATTCGGGCCTCTTCTCTTTAAGTGAATCATTCAATTTGTCCAGTTGATGACAATAGACTTCTGAATTAATCGTTGTATTGTCCGGCAAAAGCTCAAAAAAAACGATTCCTTTGACATCCCACCAAACGGAGAGCATCACCTTTTTTTGGTGAATGTTGGCTTTTGACACGCTTTGAGCCGGTTCATCTTTTCTGCTCCATGACCTCTTGCGTTTAACATTGTTGTATACAACCCATTTTTCGTCCCCAGTAATAATCCGCTTCAAAAATGGATCATTTTCTTGACGTTTGAGGAGCGAATCACACACGTCAACGCGACGACACAAATTTCGCTCCGTAAGGACATGGGGCACCCACACATCGAGCTTCGAGGTTAAGCCCATGCCTTTCAAATGGTCATAAACAGTCGAATTCGACAAATTTAATCTCTCACCGATCTCTCGTGTGGTTATTCGCCGATTTGCATCAACTAATGCCTTTATCGCATCTTTGTCAGCTTCGACCGGCCTTCCAGACCGTGGTCCATCGACATCAAAATTGCCGGATCGAAATTTTGCAAACCAGTTCTGGCACTGGCGTACTGTTAACACGCCTTCTCCATACACATCCGTCAATTTTTTTCTCGCTTGGACAGCATTTTTACCTTTTCTGAAGTAAAAAAGTAAAATATGGCGAAAATGCTGCTTATTGCTCTCCATATTTAAAAGGGCACCAACCAAAAACTACTGCGTAGAATTAATAGAACTTTTTCACACACAAGCCTTGCAATATCAGCTCTCAAGACATATAATGGTTATGCGGCTTAAGTGTGAAGTCCTCCGACGGGAAAAAACGAAATGACTTTCCGAACAACCTTATACTTCCCACTATTTCCTCCCATTTCGTTGTATTTCCAAACGTGTCCCCCATATTTCTTCATACTCCTTAGGGAGAAAAATATATAACAATTTCGACTTAGTTTGTAAAATTTAGTAGGAAAAGCCAATGTATGATTTTTATATTTCCTAAGATGTCTTCCTAGTCCTCCCTATTTCATTCGTATTTTCCCATATTTCGATGGTAGATAGCGAAAAATACTGTACAATGATGCGTATAGACAATTCCGTACCTATTATCTCAATGACGTAATAACGTAACGGAACGTCACTTACCATAACGAGCTCCTTCAGCCTCTCCCTAGTGTAGACGTTGCCGATCTCCTCGCCGAGGATGCAGTCCAGCAGCTTCGCGATCGAGTAGCTCAACGGGAACGTGAGCAGCATCACGAACTTGGTGATGTAGATGGTTTTGGCACCGACGGCGAGTCCGTGACGCGAGCAAACCGCCTGCGGAAAGATCTCGCCGAACAACACGATGGCCAGCGTGGAAAAGATGACCGCGATCAGGCCGGACGTGAGACCGTCCAATAGGATGGTGAAGATCGAGTTGACGAACACGTTGCCGAGCAGGATCGAACACAAGAGATAGTTGCCGTGATCTCGGACCGGTTGGATAGCCCGGGCGTACTTTTTCTCTTTGGACGAGCCCGTGTTGCACAGGATCTTCAGTTCCGTCTTGTCCAGCGACATCAGGCCTGGGTGAAACGAGATATTTTCAACTTTCATTGCCTGACCGCGTCTACGAATGAATGCTGAACTATATGGTAGTCATGAACACAAAGTACCTATGTCATCTATGGAACGCAGTGTTAAGTCTGCTATTACAACTTCTTGTGTATTAAAACCCTTCACGACCCTGAAATTCCTCGTTTCTACGGACACCCTAAGATTCACAAACCCTTCCAACTGATGCCATTGGTTCTCCAACATATTCTCTAACTTCTATATACTCTTTACACACTTCATTGGACAATTAATTAAAAACCATTACAACAGATCCAAACGACATTCTGGCTAGTTACGACTCAGTTACTAAAACTGAAACTCCCATCATTATTTCGGATTCTTATTTTAATTGAAAAATGTATACCAGGAAGACATTTTTCCTGTTAAACCCTAACATATGTTTTACTATTGAATTAGAAACATAATGATTTCCCATTCTTAGATATTCTAATTTATCAATTTATCATTCGGTTATCAATTATCTTGTTTACACAGCCGTAAATCTACCTCAAAAAGGAATTAAAACACACAATATCTGCTCTTCTCTCAACTAGTTTCCACATTAGATTTTAAGCGTTTCATTACCAAATACACTTCACCCCAACCTTCGAAAGAAAATGACTCCGAAAGCAACACCACACTCGCCACTGTGGCCTTTTCTTACATTCAAAACAATTACTGATCCTACATCAAAAACTAACCACATCTCTCATCGAAATTCCGTTTGAGACATCAGGAGGTTTTACAGTATTCCATTAAACGAGGCTAAAATAACATGAAAGATGTAACTGGACATCCCTTCTTATTCGACCAAACTAAAATTTTCGCCAAAGAAAGAAAAGTCCGAGAATCCACCGAAATCTCTAAACAAGCAAACCGCCTTTCACCAATGTGAGAATCAGTCATCAGAACATCAGTACATGTACAGAAGTATCTAGGGGGACAGACTTGGGACATGAGTGCAAGATGTGTTGTCTATATAGATCATGATCATGAGGCCTATGATGTTTGACAACAACGATTGACCCAAATTCCACAAATAATACTTCAAACCAATGAAGGTTGGCACCTATGAGGAATATAAAAAGACGGAGATAAAGTCAGGTCTCGGTACATATCCCAGCATGTTCCTCTGCAAGAATAAATAGATAGGTAGACAGCATTCAATTGAAATTGCCTCCAAGCTCCTCTATGGCCCTCAAAAAAATACTTGAAAACCGGGTACGGACCAGTGATAAATTTCGTTATTAAGAAAACACTAACTTAAGAAGAGACTAACATGCATTTTCTAGTAAAAACAAGGCAAATCTCCACTAACGGACACCAGGACCCAAACTTACCTTAAATGTGAGTGCCATATTGAAGTTAAAGACTAAGTTTCTGAAGACCATCAAAGGACTGGTGAGACGTGGCTTTATTAATAGTACACACGTATTAAGTTAATAGAGACAAGTATGAAGCAAGTATAGTAATACGCCAATAGACTCAATAAGGAGACATTAATATTAATGATTATACCAGGTGCGTTCTAATTGAATGTCAATAAATAAACGGGTGATTTTTAGGTCCATTTTAACTTCAAATGAACATATGTCCTTAACGTCCTAATTTTTGAGGCACAGGGTGGTAAAGTTTAGAAAAATAAAATATATATAACATATATTATTATATATCTGTAATACGACGTTAGATATTTGAATGAAATTTGGCGCCCAAGAGGCATTATTTAGCGTGCCATTTTTTTTTTAAAAATACACCAATGACGGGCGTACTGAATTTCACATATTGATTTTGGCAAATATTGATGGTACGCCACTGATTTCTCTTAAAATAAAAATTATTCTTACAACCTCGAATCATTTCTAAAGAAATTTAATTTCTTGTTTTCTCTTCAATAGGATTTCGCTTTAAAAAATAAAAAACCATTCAGAGAAGAGGTTATTTTTTAAAGCGCAATCCGTACATCGGATTCAAAAAATCAAGATCAAAATTTTTTTTAGAAATGATTCGAGATTGTAAGAATAACTGAGATTTTAAAAGAAATAAGTGGCGTACCATCAATGTCTGCTAAAATGGATAGGTGAAATTCCGTACGCCCGCCACTGGTATATTTAAAATAAAACGCGGAACACTAAATAATACCTATTTATACATACAAATTTTATTAAAGTATCTAAAGTGGTCCTACAGATATTAAAAAAATATATTTTATTTTTGAAAATTTACCATCTCAAAAGTTAAGACGTTTTTTTACCAAAAAATCGCCGCCGTAATTAATGGCATTCAATTAGAAAACACCCTGTATAATTATAAATAGGTCAAGGAACAAAAAACTGAGTACAACAATTGCAAAAATTTTGCCAAACAATGACCATAGCACACCTAATGAGATTGTATTTCTCCATACCTTTCCGAAATGTACCATAGTCATAAAAGTCGCATTGTCATCGACGATAACATTTCATGATAAAAATTTAACGAATTTCTTAAATTAAAACTCACCCAAATTCAAGCCCGAAAACAGACACGAGAACGCCAAGCAGACCAAGATGATAATGATCGAGGCCCACAACGGAATTAAGTTCTGGTAGGTTCTGATCTGTAACCACGGTTCGTGTCCTTGATGGAGGAATGGTGTCACCGAGCTTATCTGTCCGTCTTTGACGCATATGTACAAAGTGTCCGCGCCTGAGGGCAATGGCGGCAGCGTTATCTTCACCAAAGCGGTTCTGTTGAGGAACAACGAACCGGGAACCACCTGAAATTCGACAAGGATACGATAAAATAAAGTTGAATAATAATGAAATGATCAAAATATCTTCGATAATGCGTCTCGGACGAAAAAACAACGTATATAACAGATTAACATATTATCAAAAATTAACTTGACATTCTGGCCTTAACATTTAGAAATAAAACACGAAATTTTAAGGTAAAATTTGGAGTTAAAAAATACGAACTGATAAAATTTCGAGATACAAGCCGAAATTTTAACCTACAGTTTCGAATTACAACAGGAAATTTTAAAATATCTAGATAAAACACGATTCGTTAAGGTAAAATTCGAAGTTTAAATATAAACTTGTAAAATTTTGCATTGCAAGTCGAAATTCTAGCCCAAAATTTCGAACTACAAGTAGAAATTTTAGGTTAAAAGTTCGAATCGAATAAGGAAATTTTTAAAATATCGAAGTAAAAACACAAAACATTAACTTACATATTTACAAATACAAATTTGTAAAATTTTGAATTACAAGTCGAAATTTTAACATAAAATTTTGAACTACAAGCAGAGAAATTTAAGGCTAAAATTTCGAATCATAAAAGAAAACTTTAAAATATAGAAGTAAAACACGAAACATTAACTTAACTATGCAGTTCAAATACAAATTTGTAGAATTTTGAATTACAAGTCGAAATTTTAGCCCAAAATTTTGAACTACAAGTAGAAATTTTGCCTAAAATTTCGAATTGTAACACGAAATTTTAAAATATCGAGATAAAACACGAAACAAGTTAAAATGCGGAGTTCAAATAGGAATTTGCAAAATTTTGAATTGCAAGTCGAAATTTTAGCCCAAAATTTTGAACTATAAGTAGAAATTTTGCCTAAAATTTCGAATTGTAACACGAAATTTTAAAATATCGAGATAAAACACGAAACAAGTTAAAATGTGGAGTTCAAATAGGAATTCGCAAAATTTTTAATTACAAGTCGAAATTTTAGCCCAAAATTTTGAACTATAAGTAGAAATTTTGCCTAAAATTTCGAATTGTAACACGAAATTTTAAAATATCGAGATAAAACACGAAACAAGTTAAAATGTGGAGTTCAAATAGGAATTCGCAAAATTTTTAATTACAAGTCGAAATTTTAGCCTAAAATTTTTAATTACATGTCGAATTTAAAAAATTTCGAGATAAAACACGAAATTTTAAGGTAAAATTTTAAGTTAAAATAAGAAATTTTGAGGTAAAATCTCGATTTAAAATAGGAACTACAAGTCGGAACTTTAAAACTTTAAAAACTTCTAACACGAAATTTTAAGTTAAAATTTCGAGTTACAAGTTGAAGGGATAGGCAAAAATTTCGAGGTATATATAACACGAAATTTTAAAATATCCTGGTAAAACATGAAATATTAAGGTAAAATTTGGAGTTCAAATACGAACTTGTAAAAAATTTTGAATTACATTGAATTTGAATTATAAGAAAGTGACCAATTGCTTTTGAATGGGATTATCTAAGGGTGGTCATGAACAAGATTATTACCTTAAGTTTCCGAATTTAAATTCAGGTAAAATTGTGGTCCGTAATAGAAAATAATTTTATACCTACCTGTGTTTAATATTCTTTGGTTTGGTATACTACTTAGTTTAAGTTTATTAGTAATCATTCTTATTTCATGTGTTGAATCGTGTGAGAATTATGCAAAATATGTGCGCGTCTAGTGTGTCTCAGGAACTGCTCTCGCCCAAATGTAGAAAACACTATTCTATTGAGACTAAGGAAGTTATAAACAACGTTTATTTGACTCTCATTGAACGTGATGCCAGCAAGCAAGCATCTTTAGAAGAAACGGCCACATTGACGAAAATTCCAACATCAACTGTATGGAAAATTGTGAATAATCCTATTGCAGCGAGGAAAAAAAGAAACGATGCTGACATTTTCTCGAGTGTAGATGAAAGTGATCAAGATATAATACGGCGTAAAATTTACCAGTTATACGACGAACAAAGCGTGCCTACATTAGATATCTTAATTAGGAAGCTTACTTATTGAAGTGTATTCAACACATGGGTTTTAGATTTAAAAAAATTGACAAAAGGCAAGTTTTAATGCAATCTTTTAGAATTCCGAAAACCCCGACTGGAATATCTAGAAAAAATTAGGATTTACAGAGAACAACAAAGGCCAATTATTTACTTGGATGAAACCTGGTTCGACACTTATGACACCCCTGAAAAGGGTTGGTTGACTCAACTGATAAGTGTAAAACAAACGCGCCATCAAAAAGGGGTAAAAGAATAACTATTTTCCATGCTGGTTCTAAAGATGGTTGGATTCCAAATGGACTTTCTCTGTCTGCGAAAAATATTAAAGATTCTTCTCTGGATTACCATGAAGACACCACCGCTGATTTATTTGAAAGTTGGTTTAAAAACAAACTAGTTCCAAACATTCCTCCTAATAGCGTCATTGTAATGGACAATGCAAGTTATCACAGTAGACAGTTGACTAAAACCCCTTCTTCATGTGACACAAAAGCAACAATCCAAAACTGCATGTATAATAGCGACATTTATTTTCACGAAGATTATACCAAAAAGCAATTAATTGAGGTTCTACAAAGCTTGAACCTACAAAAGGAATACGTCTGTGATAATTATGCAAAAAAATCTAGGGCATACAGTTTTAAGGCTTCCACCTTACCACTGTATATTTAATCCCATTGAACATGTTTGGCACCAACTGAATTCTGGCATTCGTCGTAACAATGTTATTCCCGGTGTTAACTCCAATGTCCTCAATCTTATAAAAACCAAAGTTTTTGACATCCCTCCACAAAGTTGGGCAAATGCTGTTAAACATATAGAAAAAGCAGAACAATCCTATATCCATATTGCAAATAATATAGAACAAATAATAATTAGAACAGGCGATGATAGCGATAGTAATACTGATATATTATGTGAATAATTTTAAGTAATTTAAGTAGGTAATAAAAATAATTTGTAATTTTATTTTAGATTTAAACATAAATACATACATATATAAATAGCCTAGGCACTACGCGAAATTTGAAAATTTCGCACGTCATGTTATTATTTTTGGTGCATTTTTGTGGTGTCTTCGCTTGCGCATTAATTTACGACTCACCGAAAATCCCTTCGCCACCGGTATAAAACAGTTCTCGCTATAGTTTCCCGGTTCGGACGTGAACGTGATCGTCATGGCTTCCGTCAGCCCTTCGCCGAACAGTCTCAGGACGTGCTCGACCTCGGCCAGCACCACCGGAACTCCCCACTCGTCGAACTCGAACTCCTTCTCAACCTTCTCCAGTTTGAGTCCCAACACTTTGACCGTCGACGCGGGAGGAAGGTTGATCGCCGTAACATTGTCGTCGCGACGGGCCCTGCTTTCCACCATGGCGGTGCCTGGAGGCGCGCTGAATCAAAAAACAAAACGAGGATTGAGAAGAAAATAGGGACTGGTGGAGCAACTAGGCCCACCTCAAAAATTAACCAAAAAATTTTTTTTTCGTTATTATAATCATAAATTCTGGTTATTTGTACGTTTTAAAAATTCTAAAAAAAAGCTAATCCATATTCTTATAACCGATTTATAATTAATTTACTGTGTGATTTTTTGGATAATTAAGCCAGAGCTTTCGAAAATCTTATAAATACCTATAACAAATTTTTTAATCGATAAAAAAATAGTTACTAAGCAGTAACGTTTTTTTTTATTAAATACTTTTCAATAAATAGCTAATATTATTATTATTATTATTATAAATAGGGGAGAGTGGGACACGACGCACAGTGGGCCAGGGGAAACCCTAAGTGTTTGACTAATTCCATTTTTTTGTAATGCCAATAAATTTTACTTAACATTAATATAAAGACAACAATAAAAAAAAAACATTATTATGAACATCAAATTTTAATACAATATAATTTGTATGCAGGGTGTTCACAAAAAACTCTATATTTACAGTTTTTAATTAAATCATGGAACCGGTTTAATGAACACTACACAAAATGTAGAAATATTTTGAAATAATTATATTTAAGTAAATAAAAAAATATTAATACAGGATGTCCCAAAAGTAAGAATTTAACAAAAAAAGTTATTTATTTAATATAGACTAAAACAAAATACTGTTATCGGATTTTTGAAAATATTTAAGTTTGTTTGCTTGAAACAAACGAAATAAAACAATAACAAGGTTTTTATACACCTAAAATATCATTCAGTTACGCATTTTGCGTTTTTGTTACAATTTTTGCATTAGTCATAGCTCTAAAATTAAAAAGTTAAACCATTGCTAAGGTTAAGGTTAAGGTTTTCATTTATAGTTAGTCTTAGTGTCAAAAGAGCATGACAACCCATAGTAAACAAAAGTTATCACAATACCTTTCACTATTGAAATGCCAAAAAAAATAACAACGGCTTACATTAATCAAGCTTAAGTTACACTATCGCTCTATAAAGAAAATAAAACAAATTTATATATTAATAGGTCAAAACTTATAACGAAAAACATTTTTCTCCGTTGTTTTTTTGCCTACCCGGTAAGTTCTTTAAAAATTATTGTGCAAGATTGTGTCTTAGACCTAACACCACAACATGTTCCGTTAATAAATAGTAACAACAGCATCCCTAAATTATGCTAAAATTGTAACATATTGCTTAATAAATTACAAACATATTTTTCGGCAATTTTTTTAATATGACTCAAAACAATGTAGATTTTTTTAAGCATATTTGCATTTTAGAATAATTACTTAGCATAAAATTTGTCTCAAAACTTACCTTTACTGGCTTCCTGCATTTTGAATTTTGTCAAAAGCTAATTTCTTTAAAAAATCCCCTCCACTTTTCACACGGAAAATTGTATAAATAAAACATTCACAAAATGACACTGACAACAAACGTTACAAAATTATTGTTGACGTTTCCATGGTAACAAGACGGCTTAAATCGTTTTTTTTGTGAAGGTTCATGTCCTACTTAATTAGTCTGTGATAAGGAAAACGTTCATTATACGAAATGTATTAAAGGTTCCTTTCAATATTTTGGGCTCTCCCTGGCCCACCGTGCGGCGGTCAGAAGCTTCGCCAAAAAAAAATTGACAACCGATCGTAACTTTAATTAAAAAGGTTGTTTATTACATATGGTGTATTATGCTATTACTCAACTGCAGATTACTCTTGTTAAATTATTACCGCAATCACCCTCACAAAAAAGTACAAAAAACAATATTAGAAAAAATGAAAGAAAGAATGCACTAAATAAATCCATGTCGCTGCACCGCTGCTAGATCTTGCTTCTCATGATGAATGAATATTGAAGAGTTAGTGTCTAAGGATCTAGCTAGCTGCTATGTCAGGGATGGCTAGTTTGGCTAAACCGTTCGTATGGCTATCCTCTTGTTCAGTGTACCCTTTGGTATGGTGGAAGGGTATTTGTAGAGATGTCGCGGTGCGTTTATTATTTAGTTTAAACTGATATGACCGAGAATATGGCTTTTTTGTGCTTATTTTTTGTCAGTTTTCTACTAATGTTAAGTTTTACTACTATTCTAATAAATTTTTTAATAAAACAGGTATTTTTTAACAAAAATTGTATTCCCTACCTAGCTACTATTTATTTCCTATATACTCAGAAGATCTCGTTTTCCTTTAATTGGACTTCTTCGATTTCTGCTTACCAAAGTGAGTAACTATATTGTTACACTGTTCGAAAAGACTAGTCTCAAGTTTGATAGAAAGTCCACTGTACCGTGCGTCCCATTTTTGACGGCTTATTAATGTGTTGTTAGTGACCTAAGATTGTTTTTTTATTAAATGGAAAGTGGCATAAAAAAAATTCATCATCATCCTTTACACTTTTCTTCCGAAACTCGCACACTTCGATGTACAAAGTAAGCTTGTATTTTTATGAGCCTTTTAAAAATACGTAACGAATAGGAGATATTTCAAACACAGAGCATTTTTAATTTTTTTGAAACGCAAGTCATGGAAAAAAAAGTACTCGTTTTCCTAATATACTGAACAGTCATGACGCCTCGTAAGTGTTAATCAAAAATATGATAATTATGCGAAAATATATAAGCGTGTATTTTAATCATTATAATTAAAAGGTACAATAAAATTTGGTCTTCTTCTTTTAGCAAACACGATATCATTATTCCTAAAGATTTGATAAATGCGCAGAAAAAATTGTTCAAAAATGACAACCCTGCCAAATTGAAAACTAGTCAAAAAATTAGGTTTAATGTGTTAATTATTAGAATTGTTATATCAGTTGTTATCAATTATTTAAATTAATTTCACTGTATCACTTATTCAAAAATGATTTTAACAGATGAAGAAAAGTGGGATTTATTAGGCATGCAGTAAATCCTCTGCAAGGACAAGAAAACGATAAACAACCTAAATCCACAGCCCGTTCCACGACATGAACAATTTTTTCTTTGCTCTTATTGAATCGTTAGAAATAATGAAACAGTTTTTACAAAAAGGAGACGAAAAATTTTTATTATAAGCGAAGACGCAAAGCATATCGTAATAATTTTATTCGAGACTTTATCCTTGGATACTGTCCAAAGGACTAAAAAAAAACAAACAAATTTTGCCCCTTATAAATTCAGATCGGTTAAGGTGCTTTTGGCGGGGGATGCAGAGAGAAGACTTTTTTTATCATTGGTATGTTAACTTTTGCTGCCAAAACATATAATTTTTCAAATTCTACAATTTATGATCCAAAAAATCATTATTAGTCAAGAGAAAATTAATTGCTAATATATCCCCGAGGTCCACAAGTTCGTTTCAGCTTTAACGTTTGGTGTGGTATAATTGGTATTCGCATTGTTGGGCTATATTCTGGATTGTTTTCTAGATGAGCTTGCACTCATAAGTAGGCAGAATCGCCATTTCCAACAAGATGTCGCAACAGCTCGTAAGAATTTTTAACAACCATTTTCAACAATAAATGGATTGCTACCTATTCCTTGCCCTCCTAGGTCCCCAGATATAACCCCAATTGATTTCTACTCGTAGGGTTATTTAAATGACGAAATTTATAAGCAAAGATACCAACACGTTGACGTTTAAAGGCTGCAACAAGAGGAAAAGTAAACCAGATAGATGGTAGAACAATACTAAAAGCAATTCGTTCAATACTTCGATGTTTATTTTTTCTAAACTCTACATTTAATTCTTTTTGTTTTCACCATCATAACCAATGGAAACATGCTACAAGTTTGTTTGTATCTCTACTCACAACAAAGTTACCAATGATGAACAATTAATTTAGATCAGCCTGTACAATAATTAGCGTATTTAATACAAGTAAATGATATTTCCACAAATCCGCCAATTTCTTAGTGTTCAAACCACTTTTTTTGTCATCATTACTTATATCCATTATTCCTTAAAGAAAAAGACGTTTTCATGTTAACCAGCAACTATTTAAAATGCCGCTAAATTTTAAAACAGTTAAAGGTAAATCCTATAAACGCAAACTGTAATTAGAATATTTTATTTTTATTATGTTATTTACATCTGATCTACAGTTGATATTTACTAAAATTTTATGAGATTGGTTTGTACATTGCCGATTTTAGAAAATTCCCATGAACGGGACTCTCGGTCGTTTTTTTACAACGGTCGTTATAGACATGTCAAAGAGAGATTTTTTTGTAGTCGGGAAATTGAAAAAACGGTCGTCATACACTAATAGTCATTAACGGAGACTTACGGTATATCAAAATTTGGTAATTTCAAAATAAAACGTTACCACCGTCACTGTATCCTACGTAAAAAACCCTATCCATACCAGTTTTCGAGAAGTTAACGACTTACAAATGCTATCTAAAAATCCAAAAATTTTCAAAATCATCCTGTATCTAAACATGCCACCTTTCATATAACGAAAAAGAAGTTGTGCGTCACGAAATCTTTATTATTAGGAAGATAGGTCGTAAAATCATCAAAAATGGGACACACTGTAGAGGGAGTTCTATGTTCGAGGCTGTTGCGGAGTATCTTACTTATCTTTAAAGATAGAATTTTGCGCAACAGTTTGCAATAACCAATTTTTTGTGAAGCTGAAGATAACACAATAAACGTTGAATTTCAACACCCTGTATGTTCTTTAATGACGTTTTATACAAAACAGCAAAACTTCGCAAACCCATTAATTCGGCGAGCAATTTAACCTAAATATTGGAATTAAGACAATATATTTCAAAAATTATTGGTCCCTTTTATTTTGTAAGTTATAAATTAATTTCATATAACGGAGATAATTTTATTCCTTTTTAACGTTTATTTAAGAAAGGTACTTAGGCTTTAATTTTGTATATGAATTTAATCTTAAAGTATTAAGTAGCTAATAAAGATTACATATTTAATTTACGCTTTGCCATTGACTTATCACCATTTTAAATAAAATAAATCTTTTTTTTTAATATTTAATTTCGGAAAACTCGCATTCTTATTCAAAATAATAAACAGGGTGTTCCAAATAAAAAATAAATTCAAATTCAACAATTTTTTGACCAGACCTCGTATTCTGCACTAGATTTTCCTTGAGTTTTTCTTAAAAAAAAAATATAGGCAAATTAGCGAGTGCCAATCTTAAAATAGAGCTCTTACCTCGGCTCTACACCTACTTAACATGCAAAAAATACAAAAATTAACAAATATACTTGTATAATAAGCCTAAGCCGAAGAATAATGGCTAAAAAAAACACAGAGAAAAATGAAACAAACGACCCTCTATATTATTGTCTTGTGTAATACACGACGTAAGTATAATCGACCTATATCGATCGACTATGCCTATGCCTGTGTTCTTGTTTTTATTTGCTTCAAAAAAATTAAGGAACTCTGAATTTGGCCAACCAGGATTGCCCAATTTGCAACCCTTGCATTTTTCCCTCTAGATTCAGTTTTTTTTTCGAATTTTTATGATTTTTATCGCTCATTGTATTAACACATTTTCATAGTTTATAATAATAATAATTCAGATCTCTGACGTTATGTGACTATACCCATCAACGGACACACAATATTCCTTGGTTGCCTGGACTACGGAAATCATTTATCAAAAAAATTCAACACGTTTTAAATAGGACATTATACCTTAAAAAAATAAATTATTCAATCATTACCAAACCCACATGGAGTCATCTTGAAATTTATTCCGTTTTCCAAATAAAGGACTAAATCCCCTTTATTTCCAGTTGTTTTTGGATTTATCTTTATTTGTGCGTAAGTAACTTTTAGTTTCTTTTTGCCACACCTGTAAAGAAAAAAACGCGAAATGGATGTAGGGCAATTCAGAACTTTGTACTTTTGGTGCAATGGTCGACTCATCTTTCTTTAATTATCTACCGTACTGAGCAAATTCTGTGTTTGCCGTCGTAATCGTAGTATGATTAACTGTAGGCGGCACATTGTCTGTCACATTCTCAAACACCAGACGATTCGAACCGACGACATGTTTGTATCACGCATTTGTATACATTTTAGGGGCCACTCATATTATAATGTATATTCGATCATAGGTGTACAAAAGTCGGATCAAACCCTGCCATTGCAAACTTGATGCAGGTCTCTGGAGATGCCTCTTATTTTGGTTTAATTTTCCACAAATATGTATGTCTTAGTATTTCCCCACAGCGAGGTAGGTAAATTCAATGCTTATTCAATGCAATTGAATCGATAACTAAAAAAATCCCGACTCCAATTTTAGATTTACACTACAGATACCCAAAGAAGTAGTTATGTGACTAAAACATCCGGATTAAACCGGTAACTATTCCCAGAACCTATGACAAAATTATACACTTTGCTCGCAAATACCGGCAAAAGTACGTAAATAAGGACGTTTATATATCGAATACGCACGGAAATGCGGAAATAAAAACTTGTACCACATTTAATACGATAATTTATTGAAATTGCGATAAGTGTGTAGAAAAAATCCAGGCGGCTATGACTTTATGCTCAATAATGTTACGTAAACCAGCAATTACTTGGCGGCAAATTTAAACTGCACGCAAGAACCCCGCAGCGGTTTGTTTACTTACGTTTTATCTATCTTTTCTTGGCCGAGAGGTAACTTAATGTCAGGACCCTGATGGTACCACACGTGCAACTCACTGTTTAATAGACCGGGCTGTAACAGCCCCACGTTCTCCATCACCCGGTGAGGTAAACATAAGTACAAAATACCCCCCACACTTCGAGGCACTGTCAGCTCGTACTGCGCCCATTTGTCGTGTGCGGAAACTTCACTGATATTATAAGCGAAATCCGCGTTTTGACACTCAGAATTTCTTTGCGACATTTTTCGCGTCGCCTTGATCCGCATTTTCGGATATATATTTTTACCCCGCACTTCGAATAGGATTTTCGCGTAAGCGACATCGTCCTCAGTTACGTTCGTAGTTCTTTTTGTTTCAACGTGATAAAATTCGGGCAGGATATCGTTCTCTGCTACACTTCCGCTTTCAACTACGAAGGAAAATATCAGGAGGCATGACAATTCTATGAGGAGGCGAGCTGGCACTCTCGCCATGTTATTTAAAACTGGAAAAATAAAAACAGATCTTGCGGATTTTATAACCTCTCCTGGCGTCACGTCACTGCGATAACGTGACGGTCCGATCGAAAATTGTTCGACCTACGAGCCCGCAACCGGATATACTTTGTTGTATTGCTAGCAACCTGTTTGTCCAAAAATTCTGTAATGAATTTGGATCTTAAAAAATCAAAAAAAAGTTCTCCTTTTTTTAAATAGTTTAATAGACTTCTTTCAATTTATCCAAACAACCGTTATTTCTTATTTCTAACCCCATCGTTAATTTTCTTGAAGAATTTAACAGAATGTATGTAATATGTTATGATATTACATGTTATAGATTTGTCAAATTAACCAAGGAGTCAAATGCAAAACATCGAATACAATGATCTGACGTCTATAAAAAATTTAAAAAAATTTACTGACTTCGTTTTGGTTATTTAGTAATAAATTCGAATATCCCATTTTGCTAATCTCTGTAGCTTCCAATAAGTTTAGTTTATGGCTTTTTGATGCACTCTATGAAATTACAAAATTATTAGCAAACTTGTGTATTACTGAATTTCAATGATAGCATGATTAGAATTTGTATTTTTGTGTTCTCTATACTCCATATTTTTTATTTTTCAGTTTTTGTTACTGGGTTTTTTCAGTTTCAAAGTAATCTTGAGAACATATTTAGAAAGATGTTTCGAAAAGTTATCACTATGTCCTATGTATTTTATTGTTTTCAAAACATTGAGATCAGTGTTTAATATGCGCTAAAAGAGTTGAGTTATTAGAAACAGTTTCTTGGTTATAATGCTATTAATAAAAGAGGGACCGTAACCATGATTAAAAACTATAATATTGGGATTGTTAGTTGTAACTTCAGATTTTACTCCATTAGCCAAAATCTGATTATTACGCCAGCAATTATTCACATTTATTAGTTCTATTCTATGGTGGGTTAATTTATACTAAATTATACATTTTAGTCTGTGGTTGCCGTCCGTGACCTACTCGCCAATGCCCGATGTTGCCATGTTCCGTTCAAGTTGGAGATATCCAGTGAGCAGCCACGTCCGATTTTCTTTTCGAACTGAACCAAATCATAACATCGACAACCGCGCAAACAGATGTCGGTGGCGAATTTAGATGGTGACGTCACGGTTCCCTACTTGCAAAGGATAGAAGCAGATGGTAGTTCCTTAGGGGCGCAAGTATGAAAGAGATACACGCAAAACGTTTGTTTATTGCACTAGGCCAGTGATTCAATTTCAGTTGTCGATTGCCGGACACTCCGTAAGCATCATAACAGTTTTTTAAGCGGTTCTGATCGTGTTTTTATTGGTGCTCTCCGATATCTGGGTTTATAGAAGTCAACATCCACGCCTAAGACTGGTGAGCGTGTTTCCATTTTTGCTTGTTATTAAATTACCGAGTACTGGGTTTTGTTAAAATTAATAGTTTTTTAAGCTACATAACCTCCAACTTTCTTTTTTTTGCGTAAATCGCCTATTTTAAGTGGTAACAAGTCGCAGATTGGGATGTAATACTTCATTTAGTAACTAGTTTCATTAAAACTATTGCACGGATTGATTTTGAAATATCTAATTAAGTGCGTTGCCGGCATAAGCCCAAGCCCTCTTTTGGAAGTAATTTATGCAATATAAACATGTTAATCATCCGATAAATATAGAATTTCCGTTTCGATTTGTATTAAAGTGTCATTGTTAAAACGATTCAGCGAACCGCAGTAAATTTATTAGTTCACCAAATAAGTATTGATCATTCCCGTGGGGGTGATACATAATTTTTGTATGTACCAGTCCGTATCACCCTCGGTAAGAAACGAAAAATTGTCGCTTAAAAGTATATTTTTATATCAAGTACGACTTAAATTACAAAATTATAAAATTCATCTATTCACTTAAGGTAAACGGGACTCTTAAGGAAATATCTAACCTTAGATTAACCCCAAAAATTTACGTTTTAATATAATTACGTTATTGTTTTTTTTCCTGTAATCAACTAAAATTAAGTAAACAATTATTTTCGAAAAACGAAAAATAAAATATGAGTAAGGTATTATGCTTAGCTTCGTTTTTTTTTTGAAATAGACCATAAAAAAAATGTTTTATATTTTTTTAAAATAACTACAACTCACAAAAAAATTCCGAAATTATAGTTTTTTAAATTATACTCATTTTTGAAAATCGCTATTATGGCTTTTTCTTTAATGACCACTCAGCTATACTTGTTTATAATTTGCGATAAGCGGCCGAGCCTCACCAGTTTTACTAACAAAATGTCACCATTTGATGTACCATGTATCATTATACACATACATCTACGATCGATCTTTAAATAATTTATTTATTATTTATTTAACGTTCTTATTGCAATATAATTAAAATTCACGTGGGTATTATTTTATTCTTCATCTAATTCAATAGAAAATTAATAGAATAGGTGTTTTGCTAACTGTATAATGTAAAAGTCCGTTTAAATATCGTGAAATTAGGGTTTCTAAATCTTGTTGAATTTTTTACACTCGTGAAAGTTCGTTATGCTTTAAATGTATTAAAGGATGCTCCGGGCGCTTAGAATCATTGTTTCCGATTTGCTAACGAACTGGGCCATAAAAAAGCTTTAATTTGCATGATATTTTAAAGTCTTTAATAAAAAAGTTAAAAAACTTCAAAAAAACGATACTTTAAACATGTACGTTATTACTTATGCAAATTGAACGGTTCCAGAAATTTGAAAACAAAAAGATTAAGTAAATATTCATTTTTGAAAGCCGTTTTCTGCGAAATTTTAAATTAATTAAAGTAATAATTTCCGGTATGATATGCCGAGAACTTTGCCTTAGAAACTTGAAAGATGCTTTTACAAAAAAAAGGGAAAAAAATTATTATTTATTATTAGATTTTGAAGGACAAACGATTTTTGGAATTCATTTTCAAATTATTTGAAGCTTTAAACAAACACAAGTTATCGGTAATAAAATTTAAAGAATCTGTATGCAATTAAAATTAGCCACTCTCGTGGTATCTTTGTTTCCGACACTTTGAGAAACGATCATTGTCTGAAAGCTAACAATTGATATGCTTGTCTGGTTAGGTTCTTGATTTTCGTGTAAACATTCTTGTAATCGTTTTCCCAGAAGGTTGTGGCATCTGCAACATAAATCTCGGTGATAAAACTAACAGGCGTGCTTGAATATGTTTTTGTTATTTACATGGTATTATATGGACGTTACTGTGAAATTTAAATATTTTCTTAACAAACAAACAAACGAATAATTTCGTTGTTTGCGGCAGTCTTTTATTAATTTTTACAGATTTTGAAGGAACATTAAAAAAAATGCATACGTGGAAGAGCAATAAAACATTAATAGAAAGGAAACTTGATAAAAACCGATTTTCTATTCTTCGTCAACTGTAACGGCATAGATAAATGAGAGAAATATATGTTTATGTTAAAATGGTCTTTTTTCTATGGCCGTCTGTAAAATACCTAATTACCCACCGATCTAGCGTGCGGAAAGCGTCACTTTACCACAGTGAATATTCTTGTTGTTTTGCGAAAATGTACCCAAAAACTAACGGTCGTAGAAAAAGTATAGTACGCAACACGTTCGGTAAACTTTTTAACTCACTCGTTTATTAAAAAGTCGCTCCGCTGCGCTCCGCTTGTATCAAATAAACTCGTGAGTCAAATGCCGTTTACCGCACTTGTTGCATAATATACTATTTTATTTCGTTTGATTTCGTGTTAACTTTATTAACTATAAACTGACGCGTTTTGGTGTAGGGTTCCTGCTTCTAAAAATGACAATAGCTGGTTAGTTTTACATACGACTGTAAAGTTCTGCTCTGTTGCAGTTTTTATATATAATTAAATATTTTTCTAATGTTAACATTTTAAGCTATAAGGAATAATATATTACTGTGTTGGGACAAAGATTTTTGTATCGATGTTTATTTCAAAATTTCATAACACAGTGAAAATCTGAACTTTTAGTTCTTATTTATTTTTTTTCAACTAATTGCCCTTAAATATGTAATTAGAACCAATCTTGTAACAAAAGTCGTTATAGTTCACACAGAAAATAAAAAAATTACTTTTTTACGTTGTATTTTATTCAGTCGTTTTGGATAGAACAAATTGGAAGTTAAACTTATTACACCCAAAAAAAAAAAGAATAACAATTATCGTGTATGTGAAATTATTTTGTATTATGAAATAAAAATCTAATTACTTTTAAATAAAACTTTTTTTTAACTAAACTTGTAGTGTAAAATCAAACCCAAAAAACATTTTTTAAGCCCTTTTATTATGAAATGGCCATTAATTATTATTTTCTATTTTAAATTGTGTTTTAAATAATTACATAATGACTAATCTGTTCAGTTATTGTAAAATATTGTGAACATGCTTCAGACCGTTTGCTCAAATAATGTTATTTAAATTTTTAAATTAATGAATGTAAACAATAACCTTCTTTTGTTGACGATGATACAGAATATAAAATTTCTGGTGGCGCCCTCGAAGCGGTGCAGAATGGTTGTAATGTGAAGCATTTTACGAAGAATTGTTGCCAATCAGACATATTTTTGTCAGTGGAAGTGGTTCTTCGTATTTAAATTTTGCTGATCATCTGGGTTGTATCGCGAATCACTGCCTCTTTTGTCCCTAAAACTAATTTGATGCTTGAATAAATATTATTATCAACAGAGATTCAATCTGCGCGATTATAATTGGGGAAACAAAAATATCGAAAACTTTTTTTTTCTGATAAAATGTATTTACATATTTTTTCCGTGCTGTCCGTAATCGTTTGTATCGTACAAAGTTATGGCCGTAATTCATACAATTCTACCCGTAACCGCATTTCAAATATTTCCCGAAATAAAGCACTTGGGCATTCGTGAGTTGATTATTTTGATTCCTCTAGTTTCCAGCTCGGAATCCTTTTGATCTTGGTCTTTATACACTTACGATCATCGCAAACAACGTCGGGCGTTTTTAGATTTCTAAATATAACGTTAAAGAAAGAAACGGAACCGCTTCGCGATAGATGTTTATATTTATACGAATGGGCAGTCTGGCTATAACGTTGTTGTACCCGTAGCTAAAGCAGATTATAATGATCATATCACAAGTTTAAAGATTAGGATAAAAATATTAAATAGAAGTAAAGGAAATGTAATTCATCAATAATTAAATCAAATGGCAAGTTCGATAGATGCCATAAGTCATGAGTGCTTACCGTATGTTTTAAAATTATTATTATTAAAATTATAGCTTTTCAGCCAGAAATGACACGTTGACGAACCCAGTTCACCTATAGTTAAACGCCATTATACCTCATTTAAGTATATGGAGTGTTTATCTTCAGTAGTTTCCGAGATCGCTTCACCAAATGCGAAAGCACTCACCCTGTATATAATAAGGCAATCGCGCGCGTGTTTTTATCCTAAGATAGCTTCAAGGTTTGCTTGAATGATTAAAAGGATTAAAAATGAATTGGGATGCGATTTAGAGGAGAAAATGAAAATAAAAAATTAAAGTTTTTATTCGGTATTCAACATATTTGCACCGCAAAAGAGTAGCACAAATACCCATCTGTAATAACGACAGAAATTACCAACGAACGAAATAAAACTTGATTCTTAGGTTAAAAACTCCAAAAAACTCATTTAAAAAAACAGAATAATCAATATAAGAGGAAATTATCTGTTGGAAACCTAATAATTTTCTTTTTTTTCTTTTGTTTTTTTTTTTTAATTTTATTATTTATGTAACAACTTACAGTTATGTTATTTATATTTCTGAAGAATTAGAGTCCGTTTGATTTTGAGTGAGTTCATTTCCTTTATAATTTTGTTAATTTTTTTGGTAGTCGATCGTTTAAATTCTTTACCGACCTTTTTTTTGCTGGTTCCTTTTTCCTAATTTAACATAACATAAATTGAGTCAAACTCCATAAAAATATAAAATTTTGCAGTGAAATCACCCTTTAGTCCTTTTGCAAACCTGATGACGTTTTATTACTCTACATCCCTCTCAAATAGACTATAAATAGCATATGCCGCATTTGCATTGTATCTTACAAATGTGTTTTTTTTTAGAGCCAAAATGACTGGTGCTACTGAACACGAACAAGTCGTGATGACTCCGAAAGGGAAAACTGCCAATTCGACAACGATTATGATCGAACGGAAGCTGCTGAAGGCGACGAATGATAAAATGCACGTGGCCGGCGGTGAACACACTGGTATCGTAATAAATAAGGAGACCGCACTCGGTGAGTACGTTAAAACGAGATAAATTGAAGGGCAGATGAAGTGTAATAACACCCAAGTAGTTGCCCAATTTTGACTATCTCTCTAGGAGAGAGTTATAAATCATAAAACTTAATGGCCTTAGCCGTATTCCATAGGCGCAGTATTGTAGAGTTCTCCTCGCTTGGGTTTCTCTTTGTAACCCTCAATAAGTAGATTTGCAATTTTGTAATAAAAAGCAATTCTTCGTACGAACGCACGCAAAGCCTATTGGCAACAATCAATATTCAAAACACTACTCAACTCTTGAAGTTTTAATTGTTAAAACAATATTCTTCTGATACGCATCATATATTCACCGTCTCACTGACATGACTTTTTGGGACCCCATTGGACACCATTCATAACTATGTCCCGTACTGTGGAATATGGTGTTTTAGTCATCTCGGACGTTGATTTTATGGCTTCACTTTCCCCAGATGTCGATTTCCATAACAGAAAATCATTATTACGTCATCGACCACAATCTCAACTTCTTCGTCTCTGGACATCGCAAGTGACTAACAGAATTGAAAAATGTTAGTATATGGTAACAAATAAATTGTAATAAAATATATGTGGTACCTCAATAAAAATGGCGCACAATTAAATAACAGTAAGTTGGTAATTACTAATTTCAAAGACCAAATAGAATAGAAATAACTCCAAAGCTTCGACGGCTAAGAAAATACGGTTTCATACTCCGATTTCACCAACCCCCACAAATTAACCAATAGCAAACTGGGAAAACCTGCATTATGAATCAATTATCTACATAAAATTTTGTATTGCTTTCCTAAGATAATATTTTGGAATCATTATGTTAAACCCTTAAATTGGAAATCAGTTTAAGCTTTTTAATGTGTTTTTCATATAGGAGATCAACCTATCTGATGGGTAAATTCAACTTGAAATCGAGCTACCTCGAGTAGGGACTGATTTAGAAAGATTTATAAAAAGCACACTAATATGAATTAATATGACAGTTTAATCAAAGAAAACTTCCCTATCCTTAATATACAACAGTCCGCAGGGCACAGTTCTTGTCGGCTAACATTTTAAATACGGGCCTGGCTTGTGGTACACGTGCTGAAAAGAATAGTCCCTTCCGTTTTAAAACAGGCGGGTCTTAAACTCATTCCGAAGTCAAAACCATAAAAGGTTGCAAAAACGGTATATCGTAATTCGAACTTTACCTGTGATGACTGTCAAGAGTCTTGAAAGTGTCAGGTAGACGGATGTAGACCGTGTGCCAAATAAAACGATCCACTATACGTTCTAGAAACTCATACGAGGGCAGCGCCAAAATTTCCCCTCCTGAATATGAAAGAGACAAAGTAGAGTAACAATTTTTTATTATTTTTCAATATAATCCCTCTTAACTTCAATGCACTTATTACATCTCTTTATTAACAACTCAATCGCTTTAAAAAATATTATTTTGGTTTGTCTGCAAAATGAGCTAAAACAGCCTCTTTTAACTCAACTACGTCGTTAAACCACCGGCCACGTAAGTCCTTTTTCTATATTATATATTTTATTTATTATATTTTCTATTTTTTGATCTATCTGTTGGAGGAACCCACACTATAAAATGGCAGCTTGTGCAACACCAGCATTATGGACAGGTGCATTATCGTGCAAAATACCACGCCTTTGGTCAGTTTTCCTCGACGTTTTACACATATGAAGTCTCGCCATTTATGTAATAATGTTACGTAATATTGATCATTGACAGTGGTATTAGTTTCTTTAAAATCTATCAAAAGAATTGCTTCACAATCCCAAAAGATCGTGGCCATCACCTTTTTTGTTGACTGGCAGACTCTGAATTTTCTTGGAGGTGCTTCACCCTTACGACACCACTCTATTGATTCTTTTTTCGACAGAGGGTCATAATAGAGAACCAAAGTTTCATCTCCCGTCACAATAGTTTGTATCACAGGCTTCGGTTCCGACCCACAGAGTTCCAAAAAAGACCGCGCACACTCGACACGGCGTTATTTTTGAATAGCCAGAAGGCACTAAACTTATGCATACGTAAATGATCATGCAGGATTCGACGAACATTTGTATCAGGAAACTTAGTAATTTCTGAGATTTCCTTGACCTTTAAACGTCGATCACTCAATATCACCTCTTCCAGAATCGCAACAATATCTTCGGTTATGATCTCCACTGGTCGACCAGTTCCTGAATCATCTTCAAGGGACTCCTGCCCCATTCGAAAACGTTTTGCCCATTCTTTCACTACAGAATACTAAGGAGAATGTTGGCCGTACACACCATCCAGCCCTGCTTTAATAATTTTAGGTGCTAACCTTTCTTTGTCAAAAACTTTATGACTGCTCTATACTCAATTTGCGTTATGTGCGACATTTTTTCGGACACGTCTTGTTTAAAATGCTGTCAATAAAAAACTATTTGACGCAAGACTTCAATTTTTTTTTTCGCAGCCTACTAAGATATATATTTAAAAGAAGACAAAGTTTTATCGTGGTACTGGAGCTGCATTTATGTCAGTCCGGGAAATTTTAGCGCTAACCTCGTAGGAGATACGAAAAAAAGTTTCCTACAAAAGTTTCTTGAACTCTCCTGACCATTCAAAATATTATAATTTTGTTGATACAGGCTGTCCCAAAAGTGTCCCCACCGACATCAACTTTGTTATTTTAAATGAAACCCCCTGTATATTTCAACATTTTTGGAATCCTTGGTTAAAATAAAGGTCACTTTCTTAAGAAATTCCCATTTTAATTTTGCATAGTTTATTATTATTATATTAGTATTATATCTTTAAAAGAAGTAGTATCATGTCTTTGCTATTTAAAAAATACCTAATATGCGGTTGTTATCAAACCTCGAATATCTCAAAAAGTAAGTAAAATTTAAATATAAGATAAATTACAAACTTACTTTAATTTTTATCCTAGAATTGATATCTGAATAAAAATTCGCCAAAACGGCACCACCTATTTGGGACACCCTGCATAAGCTGAGGCGCATCTGTCAAACTGATTGAGTAGTGCATCATCTCCTTAGTCTGTGGTTAAATTTTCGTTGCAATACTTGTATCAGTAGATTAACCAAGGATTCCAAAAATGTCGAAAGATACTGGGTGTTCCATTTAAAATAACAAAGTTGATGTCGGTGGCGACACTTTTGGGACACCCTATGTCAACAAAATTATAATATTTTCATTCTTCAGGGGAGGCCAAGAAACTTTTGTACGAAACTTTTTTTCGTTTTTCCAAATGGTATATTCGATTGTTTTATTTGGCACTCGGTGTACCTGTGTAGTATGCCAAATTTCTAGTGTTTTTAAATTTGTTGCTAAGTTTTACAGTTCAGTGGTGATTTGCAATTGTCTCGCATTAAGAAACACAGCATAAGCACCCTTTTTTGTCTTGGTCATTAGGCCAAAACATTTTGTCTGCGAATGCACTATACTTATCGAATTGTCGTTTTAGAGAACGGTGAGTGCAGTCCCGCGCAGCTATCCCTCGAGTTTAAAGTGTTCTTGATAAACGCTCAGACCAAAAAGCCCACCCAGGAATCGCGGACGTTGAAGTTTTGGTTTCGATCGCCGAAAAATAGCGACAACGGCCTATACGAAGAGAACCACGCGGGCGTGGCTCAGGATTTTTTTAGGGAACTGGTCAGCCCAAGGGAATTCCCGCGAGGTGAGTATTCCTTTGCACAATTCTTTATGGTGCGATTTTTAATATAACGCTCTCCATGGAGCAATCCAAGTATGTTTATACCCTTGAAAATAAATTAATTTTCGGTACCCCCAAACTGTTTTGGCGCTTCTCGAAAATTGGGATTTTTTACTAATTTATTCATCTATACCATAGAATACAAAAGCACTGAAAGGCCGCCAAAAATAAAATATAGGTTTTAGCTTCTTAAAGCAAACTTTTGGGGAATCAAAATAATTTCTGAGATAAGTCAGAATCGCTGCAAAATTACTCAGAATTAATGACATAATTTCTAGAAAACACATAAGAACTCTCATAAGGGACATAGTGATTCATTCATTCAAATATTATGCCTCATGTCTTGTACAAATGTCAGGGAACCAAACGTTCATACTTGATAAATACTTAAAACATGATATAGCTATTGAGTTATTTTACAAAAATTCTGACTTGCTTTTTAGAAATTCTGTCTTATTTTTCAGGAATTCTGACTGAAATTTTGCTGAAAAATGTCCTTTTTTAAATTAAAACCGTTTTTGGTGGCTTTCCAATGGCTTTCATTAAAACCGTTTAGTTATTGTGCAGATTGTTATTTAAAATAAGGTAATTTCCTAAACAATGCCGATTTCTGCACCAAAATTTGTACCTAGTTTTTTGACATAACAAATTTAAATTTGTTCTTATTTTAGCTCTTGTAGGGGGCGCCACCTAGATGTCTTCTCTTATTTCCAAGTGTATTATATTTTGGTAAAAAACTTGCCTTGACCACCACTTTTGAAATATTTTTTATATGGACTTCTTTAGTGATGAGCCTGCATATTTTTAAATCTCCAGGACATCCTCGGATAATCTCATTTAATCAGATAGATATCTCGAAATGGGGAACTGTAATTTTCAGTCTTTTAAAAGCGCATTTTTTGCAGACTACGTCGGCTTCATAAAAAAAATAATGAAGTTGATGCAACACGATTACCAAGAAATAAGCAAGCTGGAGGTGGAACTGAAGCAGTTGGACGAGCCGATCCAGGTCCCGAGCAGACCACGTGAGTAATTTTCTGTAATGAATAGAAAACCGTATGGTTACCATAGTTAATAAGCCAACGATCTTAGAATGGACGTTGCGTCAACAACGATCAAAATCAAATGAGTAGTAGAGTAGAGTAAACATATTTATTTATGATGACGCAACGGTCAGTACCTGTTGATCACTCCACACACTTTGAATTTTTTCTGATGTAGAAATTCTTTTAGCTAGGCCTGGCTATTATTGTATCGATTTCCGTAGCACGCCGCCATCTTTGTATAAATCAGGTTTGGGTTTTGGTTGGTTTCGAAAATTTAACAACAAATGATGGTTGCAAAACTGTTAAGGGAGAATAAAAAAGTACGTTTTTTATTTCTCCCTTTCATCTACAGGGTGTCCTGTAAGTATATAAAATATTCTGGAGACCGTACAGTACAGTACGTCAGGCCACCCTGTACATTGCACCTTTTAGTATCACTTTTGAAACTATCATAGATATTTTGTTTTGTTCGCTTTGCGTTTTTCTATTAATATATCGCTATCTCTCCGAACTAATGTGCCGACACTCCTTCGCTAATTGGCAATTTAGTGGCGAGAGTTTTTATCGTTGAACTTCCTGCTAGCCGCTTTTAAAGCTGATAGCGCTGACTGCGTAGCCATTTGCATGATTTTGATTAACTAAACCGTTGTTGTCAGTATTATCTGATAAGGATTCATCTGATATTGACGAACAATTTTGTGTACTTTATATCTGCCACATGCATGAATAATACTTTAAAAATGAAGAAAATTCCAAAGTGATCTGTCCGATATAAAACCAATAAGCTTTTGTGGTGAATCAGTCAATCAAGTTTGAAAAAACTATTTCTCAAATTTATTTTATTTTTTGCAAAAACTAACCGAATTTCTAACAAAACAATTTTATTATTTTTCGAAAATTACTTTATTAAACAAATAAAATAATTTAAGAATAGTTTAGGAGCCTATTTACCTCGATTGTATAGTTTAAATCACAGTATAACCTGTTGTGTTCACCATGTCGATGGATATACTAGGGGCAGTTTTGAAGTATATTAAATTAACCCTATAGGACCTAATAAGGAAATATTGTTTCTGTATTGTATGTTGGTTAGTTTTGGTTGGTTATTTGTAAAATGGAATTTAAAGACCGCAATATGAACAGAAATGAAGTAGTAATGGAATGGCACTTGAAAATTTAATCACTGTCAAAAATGGTCAGTCTAGTTCAATTAAGTAGTTTGGTTTCTATTTCTTTAAATAAGGGTGGTCCAAAAAAAAGTTGGGTTGGACAAGCGTGACAAAATCAACTGTTTTTAAATAAACAATATATTGGCTAATCTTTATATTATTGAAACACCTTCAAAAGGGCCTGTTTTGATGCTTACTTCGATAAATGCGAACAAAAGCCAATACGACATTCTTTGAGACAAACTATACCTTTCGGAAGAACCAATTACGACTCCCTCCTCTTGATTAAAAAAATGGACTCGATTGCTACCATAGTGCCACCTAAAAGGTAGGTAGATATTTTTATCACATGCCTGTTTATCACATTTCTAAGATTTCAGTCAAGTACCCACAACCTTTTAAAAAATAAAATATAAAATATAAAATATGGACGTATCTGTCAAAATTTACTCTGTAGGAACGTTAAAACGTGTGTTGATTTGATAAGTCTTTACTCAGAATATATATTAATAAAAAAATAAATATATTATTATTTTGACAATTAAGTTTAAATAATTCGCCTAGTTTTGGTTAAAATATTTGTGTAGTCTATAAAAAAAAGCTTTACGTCTAACATGGCCTGTTTGCGTTTATGCGCTAATGGTGATTAGCACATTCTCACGTTCTAATAATAATTTCCGTTTATTATAGTATCAGCTGAAGAGAGTACTCTTACAAATGGACAAATCCTGACGCAGGAAAAAGTACTGGAAATAATCGAATCGGCTTATCCCAACCCCGTGACAATACCAGAAGTTGCCAAGTAAGTTCTACTTAAAGTAGTAATTTAGTATCATTAAGAAGTAGTATTTTCTTGCAGTTAGTGGTATAGTATAGTTAAGAGGCAGGACATAAAATAAAATTGGTCACACTATAAAGAATTTTTAAAAAAATCTTTTTCTTTATTTAAACGTCTTTGTTCATAGAAAAAAATATTTTGATTTAATGTTTAGAATCTAGATTTTTGGCTCTACTTGAATGCAAGACGTCGTCTGTAGAAAATAAAAGGTCTCTTTCAAGATTTACCAGACATTTGCGAGTAAAATGGAATAAAGAATTGCGAAAAAAGAGAGATTTGTAACTCGGTGGAATGATTGGTTAAACCTAAATACTGATTTTATAAAAGAAAAAATTGAAATGTACTCGCATCAAAGATTTTTAAAAAGTATTTTTATTGAATCATTAAGTAAATTGCAACAAGCACAATATCATACATATCATAACTTAAGTAGAGGTGAGTATTATTTTTTATTTGTAAATGCAACCTTAACAAAAAATATAAAATGTAATTTCGTTCCAATTTTAGAAAATGTCTATCAAAAAATGCATTATTCCTGAACCACTTAACAACTTAGTTTTAAATTTTGATTCACCCTGTATAATAGTTATATGTAGGAATGAATTTTAATTTTTGTGTGCAAAAGTCTTTTAGGTCGTATTTTTGCGACTTCCGATCGCAAAATCTACTGCATTTTTTTGGAAAATCTGAAAAATAGTGGGTTATTTTCGTGTGCGCAGGGAACACAACTGGGATGAGGACGAAATCGCCCAGCATATGTCCGAACTGCAGTCCAGGGAGCTCGTCAAGGCTATGGACCACGGCGCGTTCACTAGACAACAGAGCCACGACACTCAGGTGACCATCGTCAAGCAGATGCCAACGATGGTTAGCTCCAAACAGCCGACGATCGCGATCATAACAGCCCTCTACTGCGAAAAAATGGCTGTGGACACCATGATCGAGAACAAGGAGACGTTCGTGAGGTACACCACAGTCGGTAAGTTTTTCTCGAATATACAGACACATATTTATTCCATCATACTTCCTTTGGTAGTCCTCTTCTATTACACCTTAATATAGTTTCCCTGTACCTCCCCCATAGCTTCATGTACCTCTTTTGAATCTCCATATACCTCTTATGTATCTCCATATACGTTAGATTACAGAGTAGTTCAAATTTGCGATATACCACATATACCTTTACATAGCTTCCCTATACCTACATATACCTCTCCTATAGCTTCATGTACCCCTTTTGATCCTCTTATATGTCTCCAAATATGTTAGTTTACGAAGTAGTTCAGCATCAGAGAGGGCTCCTGATTCATATACTTCTTCTATTATACCTTAATATAGCTTCCCTATACCTACATATACCTCTACTATAGCTTGATGTACTCCTTTTGAACCTCCTCTCTATATCTCCAGTAGTAGTTCAAATTATCGATTCGACATCAGAGTGTGGTCCTGATTCACTAATTAGATTATATGATGCAATTTCAATAACACGTATTATAGCAATGTAATATTTAAAAAAAATACTCTTTGTCTTTCATGTTTTTTTTTTTTGTTTTTTTTTACAGGTTGTTAAAATATAAGCTATTATAAAAAGGGGTAAATAAATAAATTCTATTAAAACTGAGGACCAATAATTAAAATTGAATTTGGGTTTATAGTGTTTAAATTCGAATTCAAAAACATCTATTAATTTATTATATACAGAACCTGGAGAGAGTATTTTTCTCGCGATTAAGTAAATGGAGAATTTGATGCCAAATAGGTCCGTCCAGTCCTTCGTCTGAACCCCGCAGGGCGAGATTCGGTAAGATATTTTAAATGGAAGATCCGCACCGCCTATTGGGACTTCTGTGCACTATATATTACGTCACTAGCGTTTCGCTTCACCATTTTTTTCTAAATTTTCTTTTGTGCATTTGTTTTGTGATTATGGTTTGTGTGCCCGTCCCGCTGCAAATCTGTGAATACACTTGGCTAACAATATATAATCTATTTACGTCACAGCGCGAGATATAGACTTGCTTCACCAAGACCGGCGAGGAGATCTTTCAGAATCTTAATCTTCGATATCTTAGGAATGGTGATTCCTAGGAAACAAAGCATAAGGACTATTTTTGCAAATAATGGCCATTCATTAATAATTAAGAGATATCTTTATAAATTATAAGTAAGTTTTATGCTGGCAAGGAGTACATTTTTATCGCCGGTATAAAACCTACCTAAATATATTATAAAAGCTATTATAAACTAGGTGACCTACGGTGTTTATATTTTTTTGCAAAATATTTTATTTCATGTCCTTGTCTTTGAATTTAATTTTTAATTTAAAATTGAGAGAAATGGATTTTTGCTATTAAAAAACTATGTACCATTGTTTTTGCAATTGTTTCCTTCAAGTTTCAATAATATTGCTTAAAATACGTTATTTTTCTTTTTTGTGCAGATATTTATGTCTATCCGAAAAACCATAAAGATTACCACATTCTTCACTAGGTTCACTTTTAAAACACCTAAAGTAACCTGCACCAAAGGTTTTATAGATAAAGTAACGGAAACGTTTTGGATTCAATCTTAAAACTTTTAACACCTGCAGTAGCTACAGCGAAAGGTTTTATAAACAAAGTAACGGAAACGTTTTGGATGTGATATTACAAAACCTAAAGCATTTTGGTGTTCATTGGACATCTTGCAGTACATGTAATACCAATGGTCTTCTTATAAAACTATTATTAAAACTAGGATTCCTTATAATCAACTTATAAATATGGTAACCTTATAATAAAATTTTAAAGCTGCTAAAAATGTTAGTTGGACTGTATACAGGAGTCCATTAAAAAAAATCTACAAGACATTTTTGGTTTGGTACACTGTGCATAGATAGAAGGTGGCGGGTAATGTTTCGTTTTTAAATCGCCGAATATGGTATTACACTTCCATGGATATGAAGTTTGCCGAATTGCAGTTTTATGTATCGATATCAGCAACGCTTTAACGCACTTGTAAATAAAGTCTTCCGGATCCTCTGGAACGGCAATGGCGCTTCAGATTCAGGTTCTTTTAGGCGAATCGAACGTGTACACTCTTGGCAACATCGGCGCGCACCGTATCGTATGCACCAAGCTGCCGTCGGTAGGTCACACCAGGGAAGCGATGACGGCAGCCGGAAACACCACTACCAGGTTGCTGGGAACTTTTCAGAAAGTGGACTACGTGTTCCTGGTGGGAGTGGGAGGCGGCGTGCCGCATTATACCGACTATAATAAACACGTGCGGCTTGGAGACGTAGTGGTATCTTGCCCAACCAGAAATAAGTAAGATCATAGAATAGAGTAGCGTAGTAAATGACATACTTCTATGTCATTTATTGGCCAATTTGGAGTCCCTAACAAACTTATTTCCCTATTTTAAATCATACATCTTCAATCGGAGTCAGTTTTGTTCCTTGAGGTTCAGGTCCCATTTGTTTGGACCCACATCAGGCGTGCCCCAGAGCTCTAATTTGGGGCCCGTGATTTTCGAAATATTTATAAACCATTTTTTTTTGGATGTTGATGCGATGATCTCTAAATATTTTTTACCGCGGTGACACTGTCGCTCATTGTGAATCCTTCTAAGACAGCATTGCTGGTAGACGGAATCTCAACATTACTAGATGTAACGCGGTTTTTACTCTCGATCAAAAAAATCCGCCTTGTCCTATTTACTCTATAAACAGCTTCACCTTAAACAGACTCACTTACAGTTTATCTCTCATATTGATGAGTTGATATTTGGCGGGAATAAGAACTAATGTCATCTAGGTTTTCGGTAATGAAATATTCGTCATTTATTATAACACACACACAAAGTTTTTGCTTTGTTATTCGAATTTGAATTTTTCTTGTTGTTGATGATGATTTTATATTATTTATATTACAATACAACGTCCGGAGTTTGTTTTAATATTAATTATAATTTTCAAGGGGCATCTATTTATATTGCGGCAATACCGTCGTGACGGACAAAGGATTCGATTTTGAAATCAAGAACTACAGCCCGAACACGTTTAGTCTTCAGGAGATCGCGACTCGCCTGAAGGTACCGTGGTTAAATCAAATCGGACAATGGCGAAACCCAATTTCGATCTTATTTATAGGCGTCCGCTGACCAGGACGCGTCCGTGGCGCCGCCGTGGTTGAATTACCTTTCAAGCGGTCTGAATTTGTTGTCTTCGCAAAAAGAATCCGATTTCAACGCCCCCAGTGCCGAGACTGATAAGTTGTATATGAGCATCGGCGACAGAGATCTCATAGAAGTGGCCCATCCCGTTGCTCAAGATAAAAATTTGAAGAGGTAAGATTTATTATTATTATTACCATTATTATTATTATTCTTAATGTTATTAGTTATAACCGAAGCTGGGACTTTCACCTTCTCAACACCTTTTCAGATGATTTTTCCTTCATTAAGTCAGTAACTTAAAAACTTTCTAACTCTAGAACACTCGCAGCCGAAACTGGCACTTTTACCTTCCCAAAATCTTGTTAAGGTTTTCTCTCCTCTTTAAAGTCAGTAACCTAAAAACTTCCTAACTCTATCCTACCTATCTACCTAAGTTTTCCACAAAACTTATCCGATTTTTTTAGGTACTTGTTCCCTCTTTAAAGCCAGTAACTTAAAAACTTCCTAACTCTATCCTACCTATCTACCTAAGTTTTCCGCAAAACTTATTATTATCCAATTTTTTTAGGTACTTGTCCCCTCTTTAAAGCCAGTAACTTAAAAACTTCCTAACTCTATCCTACCTATCTACCTAAGTTTTCCGCAAAACTTATTATTATCCAATTTTTTTAGGTACTTGTCCCCTCTTTAAAGCCAGTAACTTAAAAACTTCCTAACTCTATCCTACCTATCTACCTAAGTTTTCCGCAAAACTTATTATTATCCAATTTTTTTAGGTACTTGTTCCCTCTTTAAAGCCAGTAACTTAAAAACTTCCTAACTCTATCCTACCTATCTAGCTAAGTTTTCCGCAAAACTTAATCCAATTTTTTTAGGTACTTGTTCCCTCTTTAAAGCCAGTAACTTAAAAACTTCCTAACTCTATCCTACCTATCTACCTAAGTTTTCCGCAAAACTTATTATTATCCAATTTTTTTAGGTACTTGTTCCCTCTTTTAAGCCAGTAGCTTAAAAACTTCCTAACTCTATCCTACCTATCTACCTAAGTTTTCTACAAAACTTATTATTATCCGATTTTTTTAGGTACTTGTCCCCTCTTTAAAGCCAGTAACTTAAAAACTTCCTAACTCTATCCTACCTATCTACCTAAGTTTTCCGCAAAACTTATTATCCAATTTTTTTAGGTACTTGTTCCTTCTTTAAAGCCAGTAACTTAAAAACTTCCTAACTCTATCCTACCTATCTACCTAAGTTTTCCGCAAAACTTATTATTATCCAATTTTTTTAGGTACTTGTTCCCTCTTTAAAGCCAGTAACTTAAAAACTTCCTAACTCTATAGATTTTTGACAACTTATTATTATCCGACTTTAAGAGACTCACAGTAGAAGCTAGAACCTTCCCAAAACCTTTTTTGGGTCTTTCTTTCCTCTTTAAGGTGAGTAACTTAAAAACTTCCTAACTTCATCCATAGGTTTTTGACAACTTATTATTATCCGACTTTAAGACACTCGCAGCCGAAGCTAGAACCTTCCCAAAACCTTTTCAGGTCTCTCTTTCCTCTTTAAGGTAAGTAACTTAAAAATTTCGTGACTGTATTCATAGGTTTTTGACAAAAGTTATTATTATCCGACTTTAAGACATTCGCAGCCCGAGCTGGAGCTTTCACCTTCACGAAACCTTTTCAAACATTTCTTCATTCTTTAAAGTCAGTAACTTAAAAATTTCCTAACTCTATAAGTTTTTGACAAAAGTTATTATTATTGTTGTTATTATCTGACACACACACACACACTCGCAACCAAAGCTGAGACTTTCACCTTCCCAATAACTTTGTTGGCATAGCATCTTATAAGTTTCGATGCTGGTCTTTATATATCAATTGTTTTAGCTTTCCCATAGCCGGTAATCTTGTTACCCTTCATTGGACATTCTCCAATTGTTCGATGTCCTTAATAGGATGAATTTCACACACAAGTTGGCAGTCCAGATATCCATATCCATATTCAGTTATTCTAATTTCTTTTTTCAGCATTTAACGCATATAATCAAAGTTGATGTTGTCGATCTTTGTGAAAAAAACACTATACTGCTCGCTTGGAATAATTTCGATTATAATACTTGTCACCATTCATTCGTAAACTATGGTATACATATTGTTGGTGATTATTTCTCGAGTATTTTGCACTCCTCCAAGAGATGCTGTAAAGCTACCACCTTTAGTTCTTTGCAATAGATCATCAATGGAGCTGAGATGTCTTATTGTAATGTCAATTTTTTCTAGTGCTGCTTATGAATGAAATTCCTTCCAGTATATTATCCTCGTATTTCTTTCTAAATTCTATAATTGCTTTAACTATATAATCTACTTGCTTGCAATTTCATTATTTAAAACCCACTAGATATTCTTGTGGAATTTTGAAGTGAAGATAAACTTGATGAAGCACAAATAACTTTCGCGTAGTGTTATGTAACTATGTTTATTTTCGCATCAAAAGTAAACCCAAGAAAACTACTACAGCGAGGAAAAGTATGACTGCTTCAACAACTGCTTCAAAGTCAAAGTCTATATTGAAGAAAAAGATCCTTAGGTTTGAACTTATATTTGTATATGAATTTGCACCGTAACTAAGGAGGCTTTCATTTCATATATTGTGTTAGTGAATAAAATTACGACTTTAACGTTTAGTTTACTTTGCATACTTGTAGGTGCACTCACTGTAGAAGTACCGGGGCAAATAATGTGCTGTTAAATATTTTCCTTCTGTAATAATTTATAACTCTTTTTCCTGTAGCGTCATTTTTACTGTTTCCAAAGTAAAAATTCACGTAGAAATTTTACCTATAGCTCACCGAACTCGCTATATTAAGTAAGACAAACAATCATATTTGTTATACGGGGTGTTTCAAAAATTCAGAAATTTTAAGGACATATTTAAAGAAAATTTGAATCAAACTAATGGATGAAATCAAGACATATTAGAAAAAAGTATACGTTTCGTTACATAAGAAAACATTAACCTGTCAAAGTTTCAAATCCCTCAAAGTTCAATGGAAATCGCGAAACTTAAGTATGTAAATAGAGCGTAAAAATATACGGGAAAACCTGGATGTTCCAACAATAGAGTTTTCGCCGTTGTCGTATTATTAGGCAGGTATCTATATGACACTAGTTCCCACTCCTACCAAATATCAATCACTGAGAAAATAATAAAATTTAAACGTCATGAAAATGCTAAATTTGACTGCTAGATTCGATTAATTCAAATATTTATACTATATTATTAAACAGAAATAGTTTATTGTTATTTTATTATGTATCAAACTAACCAAAACTAACGCATATAGTCCATAAAAAAATTAAATATAGGGTATTCTATTTAAAAAATCATTCTTTTCACTCTCTACTTTTGTGACGCGTTCCGTATATTAAATATTTTTAAAGTGAACGCTTTTTATATCTCTATTGTATTATATATATGCGGAAGTTCAAATAATATTAATTGGATCGCCCTGTCGGTCGTCACTGAAATTAATGATTTTATTTTAATTGGGCAAAATAAATAACTGGCGTGCCAAGTTTGGTTAAAATTGTCTAAACGGTTTCTGAGTCTATTGATAAGAAAAAGCTTTTTTTGTTAATATTTATATAAACCTGGGCTACCTGTTTCTCTAAAGCGAAGAAAATTTATATAAAAAAAAAGACTTATTCTTAACTAATATATATCCCCTTACAATCTTTGTCCTGAATTTGGAAACAACATGCGTATGAAAAGCGCTTGTAGGGCAGTGCAAGAGCAATAAACTCTAAAGTATATGAATGACATTCCATTAGACAAGAAGGTTATCCGAGGATCCACTCATAGGCAAGTGGTCAAAGTGATAAAACAAACGTTTTGTTTTAAATATTTACATAAACCTGCACAACCTGTTTCTCCGAAACGAAGAAAATTCATATAAAAAAAGACTTATTCTTAACTCATAAATATCTCCTTACATTTTTTGCACCGAGTTTGCAAACACCCTGTGTATGAAAAGCACTTGTAGGGCAGTGCAAGAGCAACAAACTCTTAAGTATATGAATCATATTCCGTGCAAATCCAAAGAATTTTTGATTAAAGGCCGTCCTTTCGATATTTTAGACAAGAAGGTTGTCCGAGGATCCACCTGTCACCTATAGCGTCCGGTAGGCAAGTGGTCAAAGATGACAGGCTCAGGCAACAGTTTGCCTCCCAAGTCGGCGCTTTGGCGTTCGACGGCGAATTCGACTCTGTTATAGAGTCCATTTTGGGCAACTGCAAGGACAGCTTCATCTGCATCCGAGGCATTTCCGACTATAAAGACGGTTCCAGGCGCAAGGAGTGGCAACCGTACGCCTCTTTGGCGGCCGCTAGTGTCATGAAAGCTATAATTTGCGGCATGGAGCCACCCACCAATGTCTAAACGGTATATCGAGGTAAACACTTCAGTAAGTGTTTATTTTTCTCTCTAGCGATCCGATGGATTTTGACTATCGACACTACTGCCGACTTAGCGCCTATTCAACATCGAGTTTCATTGACCAATTTTTACAGTAGATAGATCAATAATGGCCGTTCGCGTGGACTAGTTCGTGTTGAGGAATACTGTGCAACCTTCTCAATCTGGGCGGGCCCAAGTGGCCTTTTTCTGACTTAAGATCACATCTTTAGTTACCATTTCTGTTTAAAGTAAATTGAGTGCTAATAATCTTTACCTACTTACCTTGACGATTGAATTCCATTATAAGGTTGATGCTGCTATCGATTTATCCATCTGTGAAAGCCTTATCTGTGCGGCCATAGTGAGTTCTAATTTAAGTCGCTAATAAATTTTCTCCTCCAATAACTTTGATCATACTGACGCAGTAGCAGTTAAACTTGTACTCTCGTTGACTTTTTGGAAGTCTTATGTAAACTTTTGGTTAGAATAAGTAATATCAACTTTTGAAATCCAGCTAACTATTCGCTTATTATCTATTATTTATTGCAGAAATAATATTTAACTGTGTAGTAACTGATGAATTTCTTCATGAGGTTGTTGACTAAGCATATTGGATTTACATTGGGAAAGAGCTTCGTGGATTTCTTTGGCGTCTCAAAATGTCATTTAAGCCAACCTATAGTATTTTGAGGTTATGTTTGACTATTTTGTTTTTTTTTTGGATTACTGTTTAATTATTTCATTAAAATGTTTAAGCCTCAGTCTGTTATACAAAAGAGTAAAAGAATCAGAAAAAGAAATGCTACCATATGCTTACTCTGGCTGCTAATAATTGTGTACTACCTTACATTGAAAGAAGGTGGTGGCCAAAAGACAAAAGTAAAGGGGGCTTGAAGTTGGCGAAACTAGAGTTTACAGGACCCTGAACATTTCAAACAGTTTTTGAGGATGTCAAAACAAAGTCCAGATAGAGAAAATGAACACAAACTTTGGAGATGCGATAAGTGCAGAAAATAAACTGTTTTGGGAACTCTAAGATTTCTAGCCACAGGTGAAACTTATTTGTACCAAAAGTCTGTGGATCAATATATGATACTTTAAGGGCGAATTTCTAAGTTAAGTTAGAAAGTTGTTTTACTGTTTGAGGATTCTAATTATAATTATGTTGTTGGTGGGGTTAGTAATTATTATGTTAAAAAAATTAACCGCACCAGTCTTTTTCAAGCAATCATACTTACTTACTTTATGCATTGTAAAAAATTTAAAGAAAAATTGTGCCCTGTTAAATAATTTATATTTTTTAGATTCTTTGGACAAGATTTCGAAAAAAAAAGGGAATATTTCCATAACATGTAGCCATAACATTGTGCTCCTTGCGTTAGTGGATGCTAACTATAACTTTATTTATGTGGGAGTTAATGAATGAGATTCTCACGGTGGAGTTTTCAGGCAGTCACCTGTGGCCAAAACTTTAGCTCACCTTAACATACCTGAAGACCAATGTCTTCCAGGAAGATACAAATTAGTTCCTCAGGTTATGTAAACTGATGTAGCTTTTCTACTCAGTGAACACATTTTGAAGCTTTATCCATTTAGAAATATAACTAGAGAAGAGAGAATTTACAATTACAGGTTAAGCCGGGAAGGCGAGCTGTAGGAAATACTTAGGGCCAAGTTGCTAATTGCTTCAGGATTTTCTTAACAACTAACAAAATGTTTAAAAAGTTCAACATATAATTTTGGCTTGTGTGTGTTCTTCATATTTTTTAAGAAAGAAGAATCCTCCTCCTATTTAAGATGAGGACATTGTTGACATGAGAACGTCGTGTCTGTCATTTCGGGAATAATTTGTCAATGGCAAAACTATGCAGTTTAATATTTACATTGTAATTTTCGCATATTTGAAAAAAATAAAACTTTTGAAGGAAGGATCTTTTATTTTGTTCTGCTTTAATTTCTACCAGATATATCTTTAGAAATGAATTTACCTCTTCCTAGACCTAAGAGAGATGTAAATGAACAAATTAAATTATGTCATATAAATTTTAGTTTGTAAAATGTTTCAATATTTTGGCTTGAAAGGGGAAAAGTTATGTCAGTCTGAAGTTGAATGATATCATGATATCCTGGCCTAATAGTTATAGAAAATACCTTGCATGCTGAACTGCTCTACATACACCAACATTTTTATTATATATTGAAGTTCCAATTATTTAAAAGAACCCCAAATTTAACAGTTTTTAATCCCTTACAAAACCAAAAATTGTGTGTTTTGAGTAAATTTTATTTCAAAATCAAAAGCTGATGTTTCTTTTGCATATATACCCCAACATTCCAGTTATTCTTTATTTGCATTTGCATAGTCTTTATCTATCTCCAATTCCTCTTGCTGGGCTTGGTAAATAATATCCAAGATTTGTCTTCTAAGTCGTATCTACACAGTACATAGTTCTACAAATTACAAAAAACCATCTATAACATCTAACCAGTCAGCAGGTTCTTTCAGTCTGTTAACACTTTCAAGAATACTAGATGCCTTTTTCATAATGGCAACTGACTGTGAAGTTTGTATTTAATTCTGCTTTTTTTTTCGTGCTGGAATTTGTCAAAGATGTGTGAAATCTCAGTGGTATGAGAAACTCAAAGGTGCACTTATTTCAGAGACGGGTTGACTTATATTGAAGTCAGATTCTCCCCTGTTAAGCTCATCATCAGTTCAATCAAACATGACTTCACAGTTTTCAGGTAAATCTAGACTGGCGTTAATGTTTTAGACCTCCATCAGCTATCAGTAGATTTGACTCACTTAAAGAAGAAGGTTCATAAACTTTATCTGTACCAGCCCAACTCAGTAGACTTTTTTGAATTTTATTTGTTTCTGAGTTCTTAGAGAATTAATTTTTTTTCTGATGTCCTCCTCAATAATATTTGCCATTAAGAAGTTTTTGTTAAATTCTTCTTTTGATAAAGACACGGTGTTGTCGAAACAATTGTCATGTGAAAATCTGAACTTTTAGTTCTTATTTATTTTGTTAAATGGATTTTCATCAAGTAAAAGGATTACGCTCATACATAAAACTAAAAACAGGAAAATTTGCACCAATATCGCATTTAATTAAAGAAAAACTCTCGTGTTTATTAGTTTATAATAACATAACATTTCTTTTTACATTACATTTTACATAGTTGACATTACTAAATTCACGAAAATTAAAACCAGTACTATTTCTTGCATAAATTAATGAAATTAGTTCGTCAATCAATTGTAGGTGTAAAACTTATGTATTAGCAAGAAAATCTACAATACAAAATTTAGGGTTACAGTTTTTATCCAAACACTCATTTTTATTGGTCTTGGACTTGAGATTATACAATTTTATTTAAATTAAATCGATTAGAATACAAATTTTCATGTAAATAAAATAACCCACCTGATATGTCGCGCCACCTATCGGCCTAAATTTGTACCAAGTTGCCATTTCGACATGTATTCGCGTTTCTTCCTCAACATTTTTGAGGTGGTCTAAGCAGGCGGCCATGCCACGTTTAGGTTGTAGTAAATTATTGAGGTTTTATGCATTTAAAGTTTACGAAAGTTACCACTAGATAGTGATTTAACTTAAATTTAAAACTGACAACGTTTCGGAGACTGTTTCGTAGGTTTAGGATGATCTAGTTAAGTATTTTGTTGTATGAAGTTCTTTTTTTTTTACTCTGTGACGTTTCCTGTCGTCTTGCCATACGTCGTGTATAATCGTTTAGAATTTTAGGTTGTCATTTGTACAGGATAGGATAGTTTTCGATCGTTTTGTATATAGTTGGTAGCACTCGTTTAAACTTTTATGTATTTTTCGCGCACAGAAGAGTAATATATTCATTTACATGTTATTTTTATTAGCAAATAAACATTTTTATTGTGTAAAGTTTGATTTCTCTTCCATGGGTTTGGCCACGAGTTTGTAACTAGACAACTTTTGTTTAAACATAAAAAAATCAAACATTATCGTTACACAATAACATAGCAACAGACTTGGATTGATTAATTTGATGAAGAGTACCTTGTAATACGTATACATAGCATACGTAGCAAGTTTTCATTAGATCCTACTACATACTTAACAAGCAAAATATATTTTTATTTATTATTGTATTGTTGATATTTATTGAAGGCTATATTGATTAGTGAACGCTTTTAGTTATTACTATTGTTATTATTATTTTATTATTGTATTTTTTTAAATGCAAATTAGAGCAGTAAAAATGGTTATTTATCATCGACTTTGCCATTCCTTGACAAGTTAAGTGCGTTAACTGGTTAAACCTAAAATATTTTACCCTTGCAGTGTTGCCGCTTGTGTGGAAAAGTAAGATCAGCTTTGATTATCTTCAGGTGTGTTCCAGAAATTAATTTGATATAATTTTCCGTAGCATATTGCTGGCATAATTGAATATATAGCAAGCTGAAATTTGCACCATAAAGCAATAACAGTTGGGGTGTTAACAAAATCACGAATTTACCGTCTTTCACGAAATTATCAAAAAGTAATTTTTTGCAAATAAAATATCATATTGCTTTTTTCAAATTTTCGTTAAGTTTTTATCGATATTATTTAGAAATAAAGTTAATGGCACCGCTCTCTATCTCAAAACGCGTTCGTATGAAGTTTTTTTTTCTCAAAGGGTTTATGCGGCATTTAGGAACAGCCGGTATATTTATATTTTATCAAATTATCTATTTACCCCAGCGTTATCGAGTGTCGTTATATTCAGCTCCCCCTTCCTTCGCCCATAAGTTATCCGACGATCTGGTCGCGTGACTTTCAGCAAACACGACTCAATTATTCCCGTTGTTTGCGAATTACTACTACCGTACTCCGGCCCGTGTATATTCGGTGTAATATATGGGAATCGGTGGCTGTGTGCCCATTCAGCCGTGTACAATAATGTACAATAATCTTGTACACGCTTGTCACGTATGTACGTCGTCTGTGTTCGATAATTTATACGTGTCCTCTAATAAGCGATATTATCGGACAATAATACATTTCTTTAAACGCAGACGGACGGATTTTATTGCTACGTGATAACTCATCGTAACAAAATGAAAAAAGTTCTTTTGGTTAATTGGAGAAAATCCAACAACTGATTTTAGATGTTTTTAACTCTAGCTTTTGAGGTTAACCTGGATTAGTCCTTTAGTTCTATTAGGACAGAAATAAATTTATACCTAATGGTCAGAAATTTCCTTATAAAAATTGGATTCTATACCTGGATTTGTGGGCAATTTGCATTTTAAAACTTCCTCTTTGAAAAGGACATTAGCTATGCAAAATATCCTTGTGTTGCCTTTTGGATAGCAGTGCTAAAAGTAAGCGCAAATATTGCAACGTGTTCAATATCATATCAACGAGACTGAATTTAATCATTGGCGTTCACTTGTTCAAGTAGTACTAGTGCTGACCGTAGTCAATTAACTGGCCAATTGACCACTTCTTAATTGACAAAACAAAAAATGTTTTAAATGACGTCTTGCAATTGTATTTAATAATAATACGTACTTTTACCTATAACACTCTTAAAGGAATACCCGAATAGGATACTTAGCGATTTGGGAATCCCAATAATAATATCGACTCCATTTTGTTCCCAGAACGACGCGAAGGCAACGTCACTCATGAGTAGTGTTGTGGAAATATGTTTTTTATTTTTTTTAGTCTCTCAGCTCTTCACTCAAAAAACTGTAAATATATTTTCCACTTGTGGTGAAGAACAGGGGGAAAATTTCATTAAGTCATTAAAATTGGAAGACAAGTAAATAATTAAATCGATTTATAACAAAAACAGTTGAAAACTAAAATGTCTAGGGTATTATCTCCATTCGGGTTTAAAGGCCGTCGTCGATTGGAATTACTTCCTAACGTTTCTTCTTCATGAAGAAGCTCGCCACTCGTGCTAGCGAAACGTTAGGAAGTAATTCCAATCGACGACGGCCTTTAAACCCGAATGAAGATAATAGCTTATCAACGGGCCGCGAAAGCCTTAACCAATTTATCACTAAAATGTCTGTTGCCGTGTATATCATATTTTATGGGCAATGTTTAAAATCCGGGATTTTATACAGGATGTTTCGAAAAATACTCCTCAAATTTCTGAGTAAACAGAATATTAAAAAATAACATTAGTTTGGTTAACAAAGATGTGCCCCAAAACTCATCGTTCCGACAATACGGCCCTGTAAAATTTTATCGATGCTAAGGAGGGGAATTGTTTTAATTTTTTTGGGCAAAAATAGTTATTAACATTTTTTACAGAGTTCCATAAAAAAAAACTGGTTTAGTAGTTTTAAAAACAATTTTTGAGGTCCTTTTTAGGTACGAAGGAGGTATTTGCAGACACATAATTATTAATCAAATTAACGTTGGTTTTTAATATTCTGTTTAAGTCAGAAATTAGGTTTTTTTGGAGCTGTGGAATTACTGTTGAGTAAACTGATATATATTCGTTATATAAGACGATTATTAATTAATAATTAATTTATCAGTTTACTTGATGGTCAATGACACATCTATAAACACAAAGGCGAAGACTAACAAAACAAAAAGGCTACGGCACGTGAAAATGCACTGGACATCTGGCAACAAAGGTGGCAAAATGAGACTCTAAAGGCCCAATGGACCAAAAAGCTCATACCGAACCAGAAAGTGTGGCTAGGTTGCAAACATCGTAGTGCAGATTACTACTTAATAGAGGCCCTAAGCGCCCATGGCTGTTTTAGACTTTTCGCTAAAAGATTTGGCAAGTATGGTCTGCTCATAGATATAAGAAAGTAACCAATTTCTTTTGAACGGATTATCCAAGGGTGGTCATTAACTTACAATGCAACAAGATTATTATTATTAATTAAAGTAATTATTAATCAATTAATTATTAATTAAGGTAATAATTTTGTTGCATTGTATGTTAATAAGCAACCTTGAATAATCCGTTCAAAAGCAATTGGTCACTTTCTTGTATCTATGAACACACGGAGCGCTGCATATACTGCTCCGAGGTTGATACCGCCCAACACACCCTGTTCGAGTGTTCGAAATGGGGAGAGCTAAGGGAGGAAACATATGGCACAATCGGCAGTGCGCTAGATCTAGATTCCCTTGTACCGAAGATAGTGGACAGGGCAGAAAATTGGCGAGTTGTGAAGATATGCTAAGTGGAATTTTGAGCGGAATAGAGAGAGACGAACTTGAAAGACAAAAGGAAAGAAAGTAGGATCAAGGATAAGCAAACACCGCTGGTTACACCTGAAGATATGTCGACGACGGTTCCGGGTGAAACGATTGGAGCAACAGGAGGTTTTAGTGGGTAGTCCGAAATGTCGGAGAGTCCCTCGCTATCACGAAACAAATCACCAAGCGCGTGGTGCGCATGAACCATTTCATCCTCAAAAAAAAAATTGTAATATCTTTTATTTGACCTTCCATTTACTAACAATTATACAGGGTACTATTGTGACATTCTTTTAAATCTTCCAAATTTGTTTGTATGAATGTGCTACATGAGACGAAAATAATTGCTATTCTATAAATATGTGACAGTATCTAAGAAAATGTCATATTTCATATATTGATAGTAATGAACTACCCTGTATAGAACGCCTAAAGTTATCTATCAGACATTGTATGAAATAAATTGTATTCTACCTAATACGAATACAAAAAACAGGAAATACTAAATAAAGTTAGGATCTGTGTCTTATTGCATGAAGCGCGTTCATACAAACAATTGTTGCATTCAAAACTTTGCTATAAAATAAACAGTTATGGAGATATTAAAATATCCCGTAAATTAGGTTAAAAAACTCATTGAACTGTTTAAATTTTAAATTTAATTTAATTTAAAATTTATACAGGTATGAAAATGATCTTACCGCACCCGTCTTTACTAATTTATTCACATCAAAATTCCCGAAATTAATACTTCATACTTTGGGCTGTACCAAGTTTTTTGGAAACGTGAGTGTGCTCGAAGATCATATGCGATGCGCAGGGTAACCCATTACATCAAAGAGTAGGTACTCACATCTATACATGCTTATACATTAATTTTAACGGTTTTCCAGCAATCCAATTTACAAAATGTACAACTGGAATTATCTTCTATCATACAGGGTGTTACGAAATCAATTTTTCAAAGAACTTTGCCAGTGACGTCATTTAATTGGGAACAAATTTGATCTTTTTACTTTTTACCATAACCAAAACCAACCAAAACAAAAACAAAAATGTTTCAAATAATGTTTGTTTTCATTGACAAAAAGCGAAAGTAATACAGGTACTAAAAAATGTCTTCCCCTGCTTGGAAAGAGGGCGTTTCCGGACATAGTACATTAATTTCGGAACACCCTTTATAATGGTCAAATGGGAAGTGTTTGTCTCGTGAGAAAACTGGTTCGAATGCTAGAATTCAGTGGAAACAACTTTCTAAGTACAGGAACGTTTGTTTTTTTTATTTATATAAGGTGTTACTTAAGTGTATACAGGATGTGTCACAATAAGCTTCACAGGCAATAATTTTTTATTATTTTTAACACAACCTGCTTCAGAGACTCTTCATATAAAAAAGCCTGTGGCCGTTAATGGTGAAACACACCGATTTAAAATAAGTTCATATGCACAGTAGTAGATTAGAATTATTTAGTTCAGTGGCTACGTTATTTCACAGCAAAAATGTATTAGCTAAAACTGAAACTTTGAAGTCTCTTGACTTTTCTTTGTATCTTACTTCATTGCCAAAAATCAATCATCTGTTTTTAGTCTAAAGCTTAAACCCATCCTCAAAGGACCGAAAAAATCTATAGTAATTATTTATTTACCTTTCAGAGACAAGCATAGTTCCCTTCTTTGAAGGCTGATTGGAAATCAAAACTTCGGAGAGGGTAATTTTGGTTGGACGAATTCTATGCGACAGAAAATAAAGCGAAATACGTAAGAAAAAGTGTCCGAAAAAGTTGAACTGTTCAGGTCAAAACGGTTTAATTGCGAAAGCACTATACTGAACTCGAGAGATCTCAAGTGAATTAATTGGTATGCGTATTTACATTACATTTTAAATATACGATTAGCGCTCACTCGATTCAGTCGGGTCATCTCGGGATAATATATATGGTGAAAAACAACAATAACTGCGAGAAGCTTCTGCTTCTTAAACTGGAGTTCGCATTTTTTGGATGCTGTCCCCTCGCTGGCTCCGCTACACCTACGAATTGCGGTCGTTATTTTCTATTTCCAACAGAAAGGAACCCAAAATCCTTACCTCCTATTAAATCTTTACCGTGTTTGGTGGTCGATGTTCCAGAACCCACCTTTATCTCTAGAAAAAATAATAGTTATAATTATTATTATATATTATAATTATAATATATAAATATATATTATAATTATAATAAACAGCGTGTGTGCAATATAAAATTATAATTCTAATAGGGCCTAGGACAATAATAATAATAAGAATAATTTAGGGTGATTCAAAGAACACTCCATTTTTAGGGTAAATTGAATATTCATTTAATTTAATTTATTTATTTGCAGTTTTACCAATTTATAAAACTTTTATATTCACTAAAGGCAAATAAAGAGAAAGACAGCAGTATAATAGCTAGAATCAAACAAGAACAAAATTTAACAACAATAAATAGTTCGACGTTTTCAGCAGTCTAGTAAGGGGTGAATATACTCCATAATTTGTGCGATGGTACGGTATGCGGAACATTGAGTTATCACGGCTTCTGTAATATGCGTTAAATTGTATGCGATGTAAAAGAGCTGCACAATAGGATGAACCATTAAAAATATTTAATGAGAAAAAATAAATCACTCTGCAGTCTTCTGGTTGGAAGAGTATGAATATTGAAGGCCTTAGCTATAATGTATGTATGCAAACCCCTGAAGAGAAGGAAAGATTAGATATATGCTGTAGTGGCCTTTCTGAAAGTACACACGCAATTCTTAATCAAGACTAATGGAATCTGTAAGTTCATAACACTCTTAAACACATCAGTAAGTGAAAAACGCATGGAGTTGAAGTCTAAACTGTAGTGAAAACTATAATTAGGAATCACACCCTCATATTTTTCATAAGTAGAAGCAAAGTGCTTTACAAACAAGTCAATAATATCCTGGCCATCGTCGGCAACCTCGGGCCCAAATATATATTACTGGGATATGCACTTTACCTTCGCAAACTGTTTACATGTTTCCCAAAAAAAAAAAGATTTGGCGTCACACGTGACATCCTGGTTAATTCTCATTTTATATGCACTGTAGCACTCACTACGTAGTGCCTTACACTGATCGCTTAAGCCACATAAATACAAATAATCATCAACTCTGTTAGTTTGCTTGTATTTTGTGTGCGCAGTGCGATTATCATAACTATCATAACTATGCAGAAATATTTGAAGACTTAAATCGCTTAACAGGAACAAACATCTCAATCGCACCATACAAAACACTATATAAATAATCGACACATCTGCTGCAAAATAACATTATGCCCTCTTTCTTAATGCTAGAGAGTTACCAATCATTACTTAGCCGTATTCCATAGGCATATTATCGGACCTACAGTGACTCGTAGTTTAAGTGATGCAGTCCCTATAACAAAAACTAACTGGAATGAATGTCTCTTTATTTATTGGGAAAAAAACAACTTATTGAAATTAAGTTAGCCTTCTAAAAAAGTAGGTGAATTACTTTTTGTCTTAAATATGCCTTACTTAGTTAATAATAAAGAATTAATTAGATTATATATAATATTAACGTCACAGCTTAAATGATGCAAAACAAAATATAACCAAATCAATGGAGAAAAACAACTGCATAATTTGATATAATCTTGTTAATATTTAGTCGGGCCTCCCTCATTAACGATAACGGCTTGTAGTCTTCTGGGTATTGATTCAACGAATTTTCTAGTATACTCCGGAGAAATTATGTTCCATACTTCACTAATTTTTACTTTTAATTCATTCTTGTTATATATTGGGCACTATTTACTTTGGTTTTTAATATCAACCACAAATTTTCAATTACATTTATGTCTGGTGACTGGCTGGTGTCTTAATAACATTTGCGTAGCTATAAAGCAACCAACTGCGGACCCGAAATGACGTGTGCTTTGGATCATTGTCACGATAGAACCGATAATTGTTACCCATATTTAATTTTTGGGCACTAGCAACCAGATGCTGTCTTAATATATCCCAATACACATATTGGTGCATATTTCCTTCAATGAAATGCATATCACCTACTCCTGCAGATGACATACAGCCCCATAACATCACTCCACCTCAACCGTGCTTTACCGTAGCTTATAAATTTCGGGGTTACACCTTTTTCCAAACTGTCTTTCCACCTCGACACACATTTTTGGAGCACTTTTTTTTGGAGAATTCGATACCTCGCTTACAATCCATCTTTCCTCATGCTCATTGAAGATCTTATTTGGAGCTAAACTAGCCTAGCCTAAGCCCCTCTTTTCGTTAGAGCAACGAAGTCTCTTTAGTAACTTAATTACAATAAGTTGTTTTTTTTTTTCAAATAAATAAAGAGACAATCAGACCAGTTAGTTTTTGTTAGAACCACTGCATCATTTACGCTGTGAGTCACTGTAGGTCATTGTTAATATGCGAATAATATTACTTTTTAGCTCTAACTGTCATTATAGAGCCATTGTAGTTACATTTGCAGTGCCTCTCTAAAAAATTCAAGTGGTAAGTGAACCAACAAAATCCATACCATCATCAGGTTGCCTAAAGATCGCCAACGTTCAGGTTTCTTATATATTTCGGGTGGTATGCGTATGTCTTTATCGCGTAGCATACGCTCGCATTACTTTGACAGCGTCCAAATTCCCGTGTCAAAATGACATCACGCGCTTCTATAGCCCGACGTAAAAACAACTAATCGGGAAACGAATAGGATGATTAGAAACGACGGGGTGACGTCCCCACGCAAACTCCTGGAAGCCGCCGTGAAGGTGAGAAAGCTAGACCTCGCTCAAGCAGCCCAATTCGGAAAACTAACTCGTAATGCGGGACAACGCATATCAAATTTCGAAGAATTCAAGAAAGTTTACGGCCCTTGCGCCAATAAGCAGTCTACGGTGCAAGCTTTGAATTCGAAAAGCTGTTTCAAGACGCTGAAAGCCAACAAAGACCCGAAGCACGTGAAGTTTGTGGAAATAGAGGTGCCCGCGAATCTGGGAGCGGAAAATGCGATCTTGCCCGTCGGAGAAGATCACGGAGTTCGGAAGAAAGTTGCGGTCGAAATGGTGAACCGAGAAATTGTCACTGATAACCTGATTACCGAGAATCACACGGTAACATTTTCTTTTTTCTTATTAATAGGTTTAGGACCTGTTTAATTCCCTTCCTCCTTCTTGGTCTACCACCAATTCTCTTTCCTTTTTCGTTAATTGTTAATACGTGTGCACTCCTAACCATATTTTATTATCTCCATTGTTTTGTTATTAATTTGGAATTGATTCTATTATTTCTAAATATTAGCGAGACATTTTGTTGACAGAATGCGGACTCGTCGACTCGGAAGCAACTTAATGACGTCGCCGTGTGTGTCCCCAGTAGAAAGCAGAAATTTCCGAAGAGCAATACGAAGACGTTAAAAAGGAAAGATAAACGCGAGAAGATTGCCACGGCGTTATCCGACATCAACGAAAAACTAGAGAAGATACTCGTAGTGGATGATTCCTCTACGAAAACAAAAGCTGCCGTTAAAGATGAAAGCTGCACACAGAGCTGCAACGTGGAAGTGCTCTTTCAGAACCGGCATTATCCGGACGACCTGAAAATTGAGGATACCCTCAAAGAAATCGAGGCGCACCTCGACAACATCGCCAATTTGGACGTCGAAGGCGGCGATCAGAAAATGAGAGATGAGGAGAACATTGACATTCAAAAATCGATGAAAGTGAGATCACCGCTCAGTTTTGAATGTAAGTGTGATAATTTTAAAAAAAATCAAGTTTTATTACGTTTTTGCAACGACAAAAATAATAATAATAACTTATATAAGGTTTCTGTTTCTAACAATTATTTATTTTCGCGCGCATAGGCTTCTCTTTTTGACTGACTGAACCCGGCGGGAGCGGCGCTCCCCCTTTTTAGGACCCAACGCAACATTCGAGCCGTATTCCGGAGATACTGCAATTAGTCTGATTTAATTTGGTTGATATATAGATTTTTCTCTTATCTTTCTCTCTCTATTTTTCGTCATAACTCGTGAAGATGTAAATCGATTTTGCTGCTTTTTATACACCGCTTTTTCTTGAAAATATATTGGGAAAGGGAACGTTCATTAACATTAACATTGTGATTTCTTTCTTTTATTTTTAGATCTGAGTAAGGCATTTGATTGTTTAGCCTTTTGTGTCAACATGTCAACAAATTGTACAAAAATGGGGTAGTACATTAGATCCAAATCACTCTGGTTTCTGATTATATAGAGGTAAAACAAGCAAATGCTGCGTTTATAAACAGTACAAATTTATTAGGAATTCAGATAAATAAATGAATTATTAATCAGGGTATATAAGATAGTCCATTGTGCTAATTCTGAAGCTGTTGTAAAAGATGGAATATTTCGGGGTTTTGCTTCTGACATACAAAGAGTTTCTATTATAAAAAAGAGGACCATACGATCAATGAAACAAATGCAGAAGAAGGACCTTTGTAGAACAATATTTATATTCAAAAATAAAAATACCAATACCAATAGAAACCTAATCACATACTTTCGATAACTGAAAAAGGACCTTATTATTACCAAATTCTGTGAAATTTGTTAACACAAAGGAAATGTTAGTGATTCTAAAACAATATTCACTTGCAGAACACCTTCTTTCTCACTTTCGTCAGTGGCGTCGGGATAAGTATGACACTGAATAAGTTCATCGAAACAAATGATATTAAATCGAAGTACATTTCTTAGAAAAAATGATCCCTTGACTTTGTGCCGGCCGGGCAAGCGAGCAATTAAAATTTCATTTAATTTACTATTAGAAATATTGATTAAAATGAACTTCGATTCTATTGTAATTATATTCCACTTAAGATACTATTGTTATAATCATTATTATTATCAGAAAAAAGTACACACTAAAGAATACAAAAAACAGTAAATAAAAATTTTCATTTTTAGTAAGCGCATAAAAATCTTCGAGAGGTGTTGCATAAACGTAGGGCTTGTATCTCAAAACTTACGTTTTTAATAAAAATCTAAGTACGCCATTGAAGTTTAAATGCTTGACCAATTATCCTCGTAAATGTCCTGCTGCTTTTTTTTTTTAATTTTCTGTATCCTATTTGTTTTTTTTGCAATAGAATAATAATAATAATAATAATAATAATAATAATAATAATAATATTTCAAATGGAACAAAATTTAGTTAGATACAATTTATTCTAAAAAATACATTTAGACCAATAATTTTTAAAAAAATTTTTTGAAAACGTATAAACAGTGTAATCAATTTTAAAAATATATCTACAGGGTGTTCCATAAAAAAACTTTAGCTCGTGTTTAATTTCATATTTCGTTCGGAGTCTCGATAACAAAGCCAGGTAGGCTTTGTTATCTTTAGCCTTAGAGATATTTTAAGATTTGAATTTGATTTTTCAGATCCCAGAGAGAGGGCAACAGCAGACATCGTTTTGAGAAACGCGCGGGAAGCAAAATCAAACAAACTCACCGCCATACGTCGACAAATCGCAACGATCGAGGAATTTTTCGATCGAATCGAGAACCTAGACAAGAGTGATAGCGAATCTCACAACGAAAGTACAGTACAACCGCAAATAGAACAGTCATGCCCGCCGACAAAAGAAGGATTAGTTTCGCAGACTGATCTCATCCAAGCTATCCAGAAATCTTCTTTTCTATCCAAAGAGTTTAACTTGGAATGCAAAGTGAAAGTATTTTCGGACAGCGAGAAGAACTTTTTAAGGGAACGGCGAGGGTTTTTGAGGAGGAACGGCGACAGGTACCGAAGTCAGGACAGTATATCCAAGTTAATAGAGAACGTGAGGGTGTCCCTGGAGAACACCCTGTACGAGCCCGCATCTTAAGGATTATACGTTTTAACTTGCTTTTGTTTTTTATTAAAATAGAGGCATAGTAGTGCTATGAGGAAACGAATCTTTGTAATGGGGTTTATAAGAAAACTTAGCTTTTATAAGAGCTTTGGGAGTTTTATAAGGATGGCAAGCCTTTTAGGACGACCAATAAATTTCAAAATATTTTAAAACTTATATTTTCCGTTAGTTTATTTTATAAAATGTTTGCTCGTGATAATTATTCTACAACTTCTATGAAACCTATGAAACGTTATAAAAGTTGATATAGTTCAGTGACACGCGTACAACGAAGCCGCTACATTTTTGATGCTACTTAAGGTTACAAGGGCGAAAATTGGCAAAAATTAAATATACCGCTTTTATAGAAAGTGTGCCAAAATCTGTGATCATATGCGGGCATTTAATTTGAATCCATCTCACCTGTAGCACCACTTCGATTTAGAAATTGAACTTCGTTCCTAACACTATTTTTTAGAGCCTCAGTATGATGGTCAACTAATAAGAAGAAAGATAGGTATCCCTCCAAAAATTAAATAATTTATTTAGATGAACGGAACTCCATCTATATATTTGAAAAATTAAAAAATCTCGGTGAAACTATGAAATTTGATAAAGAGATAATTAACTTCATTAGTTTTACGGAAAAAATAATCCCCTGAGTGATGGAAAACTGATGAGTTGGCAGATTTTTTTTAATGCCATGGAGCTGTGATGCAAAAAAGGGAAACAAGATCAATGTGAAAGAAATAAGTTACGAAAACTTGTATAAAAAATGTTTGATGATATGAATCTAAGCATTATTAAAAAAAAAACAAAGGCGATGATTTTAAAATCAATGAGGTTAAGATGTTGGAGTTTCGAAAGAATCGTGAAGTATTGAACTAAGGGGGCTTTTAATTGATGAAATTCCATCAAATAGAATATGTGACAATATTCCGACACAGACACACACACACAAATGCATATATATATATATATATATATATATATATATATATATATATATATATATATATATATATATATATATATATATATATATATATATATATATATATATATATATATATATATATATATATATATATATATATATGCACAAAATAACTACGGGATCTCCCAATATTGACTAATATAGAAGTAGCAATAAAAGATATAAATGCTCATTGAATAGTGGCTTTTTATTGTTAAGTCAAGGTTTCGTCCAAGTATTCAGGCTTCCTCAGGACTAAAATGTAAAAGGGAAAACACTCTATCACAAAAACAAGAAAAACACACTAGGCTCGTCAATACATCAATTTGCCGTCAATTAAACTCTAACAGCTAAGGGGGCACAAGACTCCTTGCACAAATAGAGAACCACGTGTTAGCCATTAGTAAAGGCTGCACAGATTAAAATAGTAAATACATGGGAAGCTTATGTCTTGACAACTAGTCATTAATTATAAAGTAAAATAACCGGAACGACAAAGACACAACAAAAATGCAATCAATTCGATTCTGTTTTTTTGTAAATGTTCGATGTAATAAATAAGTGTAAATACTGCTCAAACCATCCACATCTTTTTTATGGTTAATGGAGTTGGCGCACTGATGAATATATCACATTTCTAGGAACCTATGTTTATAGCCATTTTTTCCGTATCTAGTATATAAGGATTGTTGGTGGTCATGATCATTCAAATGGAAACTGAGGCAGTAATATTGGGCTTATGTTTACAGTCACTTTTATGTGCTGTAATTTGGGATGTTTGCCCTATGTAAAGTTTCTCACATTCATAAACAACATTGGACTTTTTATTTATTGGCGTGGTGTCTTTTAGTTGAGAATAGAATGATCTGAGCGTCCTAACATTATAATTTACTATCTTAATATTTGAAGGTTGAAAGAGGCGGATGAGTGATGGCGTCAAATTATTGATATATAAATATTATGTTATTATAATGTTAAGTAGATAGTTGGCTATGACTTATCTATTAAAAACAAAAAAGCAAATGTGTCAAAACCTTACGAGACTGTCAGTTCTTAATTATATTATTATTAGCTATCCATTTGGTTTTTGTGTTTATATTTCATTTTAGTTAATTATGTTGATATGTTTTATACAATGTTTTAAAAATGCCCAAGATGCTTCGGAATTATATTACCATAGGTAATATTATAGAAATGTGTTTTGTGTATATTAGATATCCAGAGAGACGACAACCGTTTCCAGATATATTTGCTCTCCTGACAATAAATTTAGTTAGGCACGCATGCTTTATTCAACCATGTCCTAAACATTATTTGAAGGAGAATAGGGAGCAAAGAGAAACAAATTTATTATGTTACATAGAAGCAACGCCGTGATCAGCTTGCTTACAGATTGAACAAGCAGTAGTGGTACCAAAACCAACTGCCCAAAGAATTTTGAATAAAATACAAATAATTTGCAGCAAATACGAGCCAACGATGGTGCGAAGAATGTTATTTTTCAAATTTTGGAATTTTTAATCGCCATAACATGAGGAACTGGTAGACAGAAAACCGCCATTTAATTTTGGAAGCGCCTAACAAGGACGCTCTGGGACAACGAATAGTGTACCGAATTTATGAATCAGGTCTTGCAGCACGTAGGTAAAGTCTGTGCATAGATATAAGAAAGTGACTAACTGATACGAATTAAGGAAAGACCCGGGCAAGCTGTAAAAATGAAATATGGCCGAACAGGTCCGTACTTTGCTTAGAATTTAATTATTTGGGGTTTTGTTAGGAAAGATACTAAACAATATTTATTTATTTATGTATGTATTTATGTTTAAATCTAAAATAAAATTACAAATTATTTTCTTTACCTACTTAAATTACTTAAAATTATCCACATAATATATCAGTATCACTATCGCTATCATCGTCTGTTCTAATTATTATTTGTTCTATATTATTTGCAATATATTTTGCAATATTATTTGCAATATGATTGTTCTGCTTTTTATATATGTTTAACAAAATTTGCCCAACTTTGTGGAGGGATGTTAAAAATTTCGGTTCCTATAAGTTTGAGGACATTGGAGTTAACACGGGAAAAACATTGTTACGACGAATGGGAGATTTCAGTTGGTGCATGTTCAATGGGATGGGGTAAGGTGTTGCCTTAAAACTGTATTCCCTAGATTTTGTTGCATAATTATCACAGACGTATTCCTTTTGTAGGTTCAAGCTTTGTAGAACCTCAATTAATTGCTTTCTGCTATAATCTTCTTGAAAATAAATGTCGTTATTATACATGAGGTTTTGGATTGTTGCTTTTGTGTCACATGAGGAAGGGGTTTTAGTCAACTGTCTACAGTGATAACTTGCCTTGTCCATTACAATTACGCTATTAGGAGAAATGTTTGGAACTAGTTTGTTTTTAAATCAACTTTCAAATAAATCAGCGGTGGTGTCTTCATGGTAATCCAGAGAAGAATCTTTAATATTTTTCGCAGACAGAGAAAGTCCATTTGGAATCCAACTATCTTTGGAGCATGCAAAATAGTTATTCATTTACCTCTTTTTGATGGCGTTTGTTTTACACTTATCAGTTGAGTCAACTCAACCCTTTTCCGGGGTATCATAAGTGTCGAACCAGCTTTCATCCAAGTAAATAATTGGCCTTTGTTGTTCTCCGTAAATCCTAATTTTTTCTAGATATTCCAGTTACCATTTCCGAATTCTAAAAGATTCCATTAAAACTTGCCTTTTGTTAATTTTTTTAAATCTAAAACCCATGTGTTGAATACACTTCCATAGGGTAGTTCTGCCACATTTAACACCGGTTTCATCTTTTTCAATTCTCCTAATTAAGATATCTAATGTAGGCACGCTTTGTTCCTCGTATAACTGGTAAATTTAACGCCGATCACTCTCATCTACACTCGAGAAAATGTCAGCATCGCTTCTTTTTTTCCTCGCTGTAATGGGATTATTCACAATTTTCCATACAGTTGATGTTGGAATTTTCGTCAATGTGGCCGTTTTTTCTAAAGATGCTGGCACCACGTTAAATGAGAGTCAAATAAACATTGTTTATAACTTCCTTGGTCTCAATAGAATAGTGTTTTCTACATTTGGGCGGGAGCATCTCCTGAGATACACTAGACTCGCACATATTTTGCATAATTCGCACACGATTCAACACACGAAATAAGACTGATTACTAATAAACTTAAACTAAGTAGTATGCCAAAGCAAAGAATATTAAACACAGGTGGGTATAAAAATATTTTCTATTACGGACCACAATTTTACCTAAATTTAAATTCCGAAACTTTAGGTAATAATCTTGTTGCATTGTATGTTAATGTTAATCCATCCCTGGATAATTCCATTCAAAAGCAATTGGTCACTTTCTTATATCTATGAACAGACCATACCTAGAGATTCTGGAGGAAGTCATTCCAGAATTACTCGAAGATATTCCCTTAGTAAGTTATAGTGATATATCCTTTCAGCAAGATGGTGGCCCCATTCATAACTCTCATTTTTAGATGACAACGGACCTGTAAGATGACCTCCACGATCTCCGGATCTTTCAATTTCAGATTTCTTTTTATATGGATACATGCAAGATAAAGTATATAAAACACGCCAATAATTCTTTTAAATGCCATTATATTCGATTTTTGCATTCGAGAATTTGAACAACAGTTCTAGGTATAATATTATGTTAATATTCTTTAGATAATATTATATTTCTTATTAATTAATGGACTATAATAAGTTGAACATTATTACAAATAGCAGTTCATAACGTATAAAATACATTTTGAATTGGGTTTCTTGTATGTTAATAATTATTTACTTGGATATTGTTATTTTATTCGTAGCCTACCGCTACGAATAAAATAAAATATGAAAAAAAATTAAATTTGAGCTTAATTTTCAAAGCAACTTTATAGCAATATATATTTCTGAGAAGCATAAATAATTTCCAATTAATGAAAAAAATAATATACGAGGTGTTCCATTAAAAAATATATAATAAACTAATAAACGGTTAAAGCAAGTAAAAAAGCAAACAGCACTACGGGAAAAATCGTATAAAAACGTTTTTTTTAACTCTGCAATAACGACGGATATACGAGGAGGTTTTTCACCCTGTATCTCGAAAACCAAGAGGGCCATGACAATTTCGTTGAAGATATCTTTAATTTCACAAAAAAGTAGCACAATGTCGCGTAAGCCGCAACCTTCTATATTAAAAAATAACCGAGATACCCCATTAAAAGTGCTCAAAATGGGATACCCGGTACATTATTGCAAGCATCGACGCGTGATATTTGGTAATGATGCAATTGGTTACACAATTTTGTACCCCCTGCAATTAATACCAATTTCGAAAGGGCAGGTTTAAAAATTTGGAAGCTGGCCAAAGTTACCCTCTTTATGGTGGAGTTCGGATTATATCATATGCTGACGTCGTATAAGTTGTGACGTAATAGTGGCTGATTGTAAATGTTTTGAAAGATTAAAGAGGCACTGCGCTCATTTTAACCACGTTGGGGAATAATAGAATATCTGTTGAAGTTTATGACAATTACCGTAAAGCCTGAGCGTGCCTTCAGCTCTCCCCAAGGAGTTTGTGGACACGCAGTTGTAAGTCCCGACATCTCTGGCGGCGAAAGATTTGATAATCAGCCACATGAATACCCTGTATCCGCTTCTTTCTTCCCTTACCACGTATTTGGTACTGAAACCAAAATGAATTAAAAATACAAAAAGTTAAGAAGGAAGAAATATATTTAATGAAATATTTTCAATTTTCGTTTGCTGGCATGTAAGACTACTAATAAGTTGATTTCACTGGTCAGTTTGTTTCCATTTTTTATATTCTCCTGTCACATCACAAAGAAAATCGATTTCTAACTCAGAAAAAAATTATTTAGGTTTATTTCAAAATTATAACGCACGATGGTTATAAAAACAGGTTACCAAAAAGATAACGCATCTCTCGTGCAATGTAAGCTAAAAAAAGACAATATACTACTTTAAAGTGAACATACATATTACAATTAGATTGATAATTATGTTTTAACTGTTTAAATAAATGCACACTAAAAGGTGTTAAAAATAACACAAAAAAGAGGAAAAAAAGTGTCATGTCAACAATACTGGTCGCATTGTTGCTTAACTGTTTCATTAATGATATGCCTGACAATATCAATTAGTCTGACGTAGTAAATTATACTGTAACAGCTCAGGTGATCGTACTAAACTTTAAAATGCGATTATTGTAGAATTTTTGTTTTCTCTGTTGAAATTTTTATACAATAATTGATCACATAGTTCTTGTAGTGCTTTTTTTTTAAGAAACTGTTACGGATGAATGAGGAGGGATGTGCGGTTGGCTAGTACAGCCCTTCCAGATATTTTCAGCACCCAAATTATATTTTCTGCTAAGCTAATTTTGTAATTAGTGCTTCGTGTCTACTGTTTGTTACAAAAAAAACAATTGAAAATAGGAAACTGTTCAATTACCAGTTAAATACTTTGAAAGAATCTTTGACAATTTAATTAGAAGACATCAAAAGGCATCGTTAAGCATTTAAGAACATAATTTTGATCCAATTGCGTGGAGCCATCGAAAAAGCGTCCACCCTTAATATGAACGGACTAATTATTTGTTACGATAAGGAATTTGAGTGGGTGCTTAATAAACGAGTGACCTCAAAAGTTTACCAAACGTATTGCATACTATAGTTTTTCTACGACCGTTAGTTTTTAGGTTCATTTTTGTAAAACAACACGAATTCATTCACAGACATGGCGGTCATTTTACGCATACTAAATCCTGTATGTACAATTGGGTATTTTAGAGAAGCAAAAAACAATTTAAAGTTGTAGATAATTTTCGAAAAATATGTTTCAAGTATTTTTTATCGCTTATTTAGACAAAAATCATCGGAGGGTATGGGAAACATCGTAAATCACGTCAAAATGTTTTGAAACATCAAATTAATCATAAAACATTATAGTCCCTTTCGCTTTGTCGTTTAATACATAATCCCGAGGATAAATTGCAATTAGGAGATAACCTCGACAGTTTTCGAAAGTCTTAAATCAACTCGGGAAGTCGAGTTTCGATTAATTTGGACCCGTTTATCATTTTTACGAGGAAAACAAATAATGAAAAGGAACACGAAGCCCCGGGCGGAACAACGACATGTAAACAATTAATACTCGAAATTTTCGCCGTGAATTTGCTTGGATCATCTCCGGGGCTAATCCGGAATTTCTCGCAGATTCAGATATGCAAACGAGCGATATAGACGAGAAACCCTAGAAAAAAAGGGATAAGACTATTTTAAAAACATGCATTTTTGGTACGCATGTGAATAAACCACCATGGGAGTTAAAAAAATAAAAAATATATCCATAAGCCTAGTGAGACAAGCACTTAAAAGTCCTTAGTATTCTTCATATAAACATATAAACATATAAAAAAACTCGAAGTTTAATTTATTAGCAATGTTTAGATGAAATTGACATAGGAACGCGAGTCTTGAGATAAGATAACACGTGTTGAACAGAAGAATATCTAACATTTGAATGATTGTACGATGGAAAATAATTGATAACGATAAATTATTTGTAAACCATAATTTTCGTTTTTTCTTCGTTGATTTTAAGGTTTTTCTCATTTAGCTTGTTGTTCCAGATTTCCAGGTTCTTCTTAAGTTTCCTTTCATTGCTTGTAAACACAACCAAATCATCTGCAACCACACGTTGGCGTATCCAAACGGATTCCAGATCTTTATACCCTACTAAGAAACCAAATGTACTGGTTCTTGTTTTTTTTATTACATCGTCCATAACTAAGTTAAATATTAACGGACTCAAAACGCTTCCCTGTCTAACGCCCCCGTTTACTGTAAAGTATGCTGATCGCAGGTTGTCGGTTCTGACGCAATTTTTGCTGTTCGTATATGTGGACATTATGGCTGAAATTAGTCTTCCTTCAACATCTCGCTCTATCAAACTCCGCCTCACCACATATTTTGGAAGTTTGTCAAAAGCTTTCTCCAGGTCTAGGAAAGCTAGATATATCTCTATATTGCTGTTTTGTACCTTTTCCATAATTTTCTTGATACTGAAGATGAGGTCGGGTATGCTTCTTCCTTTCCTAAATCGGCTTTCAGATTGTTCTAGTTGTGGTTCCAGGACTTTAGAAAGTTTTCTTGTAAGACTCGCTCATATACTTTCGATGGTATGCTCAATATCAATATCCCTCCATAGTTACTACAATCTCTTTTATCCCCTTTTTTAAATATTGGCACAATGACTCCGATTTTCCAATCCTCGGGCACCCTTACCTCTTGCCATGCTAGGGAGCATATTCTTGTTAGCACTCGACATCCCACTTCACCCACATTTTTCAGCATCGTGATTTCATCGTGTCCAGCAGCTTTGCCGCTTTTTAGCTTACTTAGAGCGTATTTTATATCGTAAATCCTTATGTAGTCGTTCTTGCGCGTATCGCCAGTGCCCTGTTTAAATTCATCATCTTCTTTATTGCTGTTATTCAATAAACTTTGGAAATATGTTCTCCACCTGTCGATTATATCGTTGACGTTGTCCAGTGTCTTATTTGTTTTAGAGTTCCGAGCTTTTCTTTGGTCTTTATATTTTTTAGCGTTTTGCAGAACAATTTTTGGTTGCTATGGAAGTCCGATTCGATTTTATTTCCAAAATCTTCCCATGATTCTCTCTTCGCTTGCACTATCTGTTGCTTAACTTTTTCTCTTTGTATTTTATACTTCTGATGCCTGTCGTTGTTTTTGGTTGCTAAATATTTTTTTTATTTTTGTTTATTTATTCTAATTTCTTTCTTGACATCTGCATTCCACCATGCTGTGTTTTTTATGTCCCTGTTTATTTTCGTTGCTCCAAATACTTCTGAGCATGTGTTAAGTATCGTACTTTTAAAAAAATCCAGTTGATCTAGGTTGTTGGTTTTTTTAAATATTATTTTTGTAATTTCTCCATTATTTATCAAAACCTGTAGTAACAGTTCTTTATTCCAAAAAAAAGGAACAGCTTACATCATTGAAACTTTACAAAGAGCTGTGCAAGAAATTAAAGAGAATAAAAAACTCCTTTTCGACAGGTAGCAGAAAAGTATGGGATTGCCAGAGCGCCCCTTTTTGATCAAGTAAGAAAGGTACCATATCAAAAAGAGGTAAGAGTCAGTTTTTAATGAATCTGAAGAAAACCGACTGAGACAACTAAGAACAATTAGATTTAATTTTGTCGCTGCTAATAATATAGCAAATGACTTCAATAAAGGTACAAGAATGGTATAGTAGAAGGTATAGATTGGTATCACATCGAAGACCACAAACTACACAATAAATAGATTTACAGCTTTTAATCAAGAAGAAACACATATATTTTTTGAAAATTTAGAAAAACTCATGATAAAATACCAATTTAAGTCAAATTCCATCGACAATGTTGATGAAGCAGGGATTAGTTTTGGATTTAAAGATTCTCGCACCGAAAGGATTAAAACAAGTAGGTGAATGTACCAGCGTAGAGCATAGTTCCTTGACCACAGTCATAAATTATTTTAATGCTGGAGGCACATAGATACTCCCATTTTTCATATTCAAGAGAAAGCGAATGAATGCACTGCTTATGAAGGACAGTATTAGTAACATGGTGGCTTGTGTTTCTGACTCAGGCTGGATAATTGAATCAATTTTCGTCGATTGGTTTCAGCATTTCAAGGCATTTGTAAACCATCCTCAGATGATCCTATTTTACTAATACTGGACAACTATAAGAGCCACATTAGTCTGAGAGCTCACGAATTTTGTTGCATGTTTTAAATTTGCCACCTCACAAATCCAATAGAATGCAGCCTTTTGATTCAACTTTCCATAACAAACTAAAAACAGCATATAACAGAGAATGTGAATCCTTCATATGATGTTGTAGGCCAAGTACTGAAAGAAAAAAGCTATGAACAACGGGTACAAACGTATACCAATAATTCAAGCCAAATTAAGCCCCACAATGAATCTCTTGTTGTGTATGATGCTGCCAATGAAAATATTTCTAATCCAATATAATCTCACTAAATATTACAAATTTCCAATAATGAGGCTAACTTTGACGATTTAAATGAAACAAGCTGGTGTAAATCAAAGTATAACAAGTCAAACTTGTCCATCTCCCTCAGTACCACTTGGTGCAATTACCAACTCTAAAATCTACTCGTACAAAACGATTAGTTTAAAGAAAACATTCCACTATTGTCACCAGCACACCAGAAAACGTAAACCTAGAGCAAAAAGAAAGAAAGGGAAGGAACCTGGAATAAGAAAAGTCCAAAACTACGAATAAGAAACCATACAACATTAAAGAAAAACGACCAAAAGGTTTAAGAAACTTAAACAATTTTGAATGTAATAAAGAAAATGATGAATATTTCTGCATTTATTGCCAGGAAAAGTATTGTGATCTACGCAAATGTGAGAATTGGGCACATGAGAATTGCAGTGTTGCAGTGGTCTTCTTCAAGAGGGGGACCTCGTCCGTAAATACCCCATGTTGTCTGCAATTAACCCAGCACTGGTCCAAATTGGCTCCTAGAGCTAAGGGTTTTGTTTATGAATAAAATTTAATACATGTTACTATTTTGTATTATCTCATACCTTAAAGGTAACGAGGGAATTTTTGTTGAAC